TGATCTCCTTTAGTTGTCTTGTTGCTCTAGCAAGAACTTCAAGTACAATATTGAAGAGATATGGAGAGAGTGGACACCCTTGTCTTGTTCCTGATTTTAGAATTGTTTTGAGTTTCTCTCCATTTGGATTCATGGGGGAATGCCCAGATTTCCTTGGGAAGGGAAAATAGAAGAGATTTCGTGAGTGGATGAGGGGCAGGTGGGGATGGAAACATGTGTGGCCAGGCTCGGAGGCAGGGGAGAATACTGAAAGAGACTATTGGAAATGGAGGGGGAGCATTTTGGGGTCAGATAAAAGCTAGACACAAGGGAATCTCCCAGGAAACTACATGGGTGGCCCCAGCTAAGACTCCTAGTGAATATATAGCCTGAACTGGCCACCTCCTGTCACCAGATTGGTGTCTAGCCCAGTTGTCATCAGAAAGGCTTCATCCAACAGTTGACGGAAGCAGATACAGATACTCACAGCCAAGCATTAGGAGGAATTGAGAGAATCCTGCGGAAGGGTTGTAGTAGCCAGAGGGGTCAAGGACACCACAAGAAAACTCACAGAATCAACTAACCTGGGCTCATAGGGCTCACAGAGATTAAAGCGACAACCGGGGAGTCTGCATGGGACCGACCTATGCACTCTGCATATATGTTACAGCTGGGTAGCTTGGTCCTCTTGTGGAACTCCTAACAGTGGGAACAGGGGCTGTCTCTAACTCTTCTGCTGACTTTTGGGACCCTACTCCTCATATTGGGTTACCTTGTCCAGCCTTAATACATGGGGAGGGGTTTAGTCTTACTGCAACTTGATATGTCATGTTTTGTTGATACTCATGGGATACCTGCCCTTTCCTAAACAGAGGAGTGGATTGGGGCATGGGAGCAGTGGAAGGGTCAGGGGGGGGGACTAGGAAGAGAGGAGGGAGAGGAAACTATGGCCAGGATGTTAAATAAATTTGTTTTTTAAAAATTGCCACCTTAGCTCTTAGGTTTGCAGTAATTTGATAGCCTCCTCTGTCTCCATGTTCAATCCCCAAACATGGCAACTTGTCTTTGGGCTTCCAACTATGTCCTTACTTAGTCCCAAATAAAACTGGCTGTCTGTCTGTCGATGTGAGGCTGAAATGAGCATTCCCGCCATCTAGAACTTGTCATGTGCTGTAAGCCATCAAATCTAGAGATACTCTGACACCTACCAGTGTGCTCTGTTCCTCCAACTAAAACTTGCCTGCACCACTCCTGAGGACCTGTTAGGTCCCTGCTAGTGCACTCGCTGAATCCTTACAGTAGCCCTAGAAGTAAGGTTATTGCTTTCAAAGTAAATGTAGTTATTTTCACTTTCCACAGTGAACAACCTTAAACATCAGGGCTTTGTTATGTATCATAGGTACAATACATGCTGTCACCCATAGTATATGACATATGCTTCCTGTATATGCTTATATATTGAATGGAACAGGTTCCCATAACTGTTGACTAACATATATATATATATATGTATATATATACACACACACATGTATATATGTCCTTAGAGTGGCATTCTAATGGTCCTCCCTCCCTTTTGTCTGGTAGACACCCGAGAAGCTTCCATTTTCCTGCTCTGTCTCAGGAGTGAGCTCGGAGGGGCCGCAGGGGAATGGAGACCCCTGCATCTTGGTCCAGCATCCTCACCCTGTTTTGCTGTTGAGCAGAGGGGCATCCCAGAGGCCCTGCCCTGCTTTCTTAAGCCTGGCTCTTTCAGGATTCTGGGAGCTATCCCATGACTTTGATGGACACAAAGTTAGGTTAGGCTTAGTCATCCCTCAGAATCGGCCCACAGTGGAGACCTGTAACCACCACCTCACCCTCGGTACCTTCCCTTAGTGTTCCTTGCCAGGGATGCTGTGGGAAGCCTGAGCTGTGGGGGTTCTCTGTCAAAGTGGGCTGCTGCTCAGCTTTCTCTAGTCCTCACTTAGGATTCGCATAGATCAGATCATTTCCGTCACATCCGATTGCTTGTTGGTTTCCAGGGAAAGTTCTCATACTCGTTCACTCATATTCTTTCTCTCCCTCCCCCTCATTACTCGGCTGGTTAGGGTGCTTTAAAGAGGGAATCCTGACTCCATGAGTCAGAAATCTGCATAGTACATTTAATTCTCCCCTGCAGCCCCATCTTTCAGATGGGGACACTGGATCTCACAGAAGTGGACATGAACTACTAATAAAATGACACAGCCCAGGATGGGTGCCTCACAGCTGAGTTCTCTGCCCACCTCCCTCCCTGCAAAACCTGAAGCTAAAACTGCGTCTCAATCAAGAGAGAATTTCACAGATGGTCGGATAGGTGATGGTCTGCCATGGGGTCTTGACAGTTCTGTTAGTTCCAAGAGTATAATAGCATTACCTTACACACATTGGAAACTGCTGGACTGAAGGGAGGTCTTCCAGAACTTCCTGCTAATTTACTTTTAGAACAGCTACAAATGTCGTTTTTAGAGTGGGCTCCTTTGTTCTGTGAATTGGAGCAGAGACTATGTCCAGCAAAAGTATTCTCTTAACTGGGGCATTTCCATACAATAGCACAGGACTAAGGGAAGGCCCACTGTAGTCAGAGTTATACTTTGTGCACTGCTTCCTGCTCGAGCACGGAGCTAATGTGTCTCCAAAGCCCACTTCCCGTTCATTGAGTTCCAAGCCATATAATGCAACAAACAATTTTCTGCTGGGGAGGAAATGACTCTATTCAAATCCAGGACCCTATTGCTTTGGTGTAAATAAAGCCTGTTGTTGGAAACATAACCCACTGTGTGGTGTTGGGAGGGAGCGCCTGATTTTTCATGGAGGGATCACCCTTCACCAGGATATTTACCATGATTCAGGCCTTCAGAAGGGCATGTTTGGCCTTCTGGCCTTTTGCCATGGGTGTGACACAAGACACCTTCACCAGGTATTGGCTCCCCATTGGATTCTCCAGCATCCAAAATAACCGAGGAGAACCTTAAGCCCCTGATCCTCTGGCCTCCACCTGGGGAGTGCACTACCATACCCATCTAGGTTTCCTTTATACAGACCAGCCCTGTAGTACCCTGTTATGGCAACACGGAATGTACTAACATTGCTATGCTAACACTTCCAGAAAGTCCTGAAATAAGTCTTCATTCCTGCCTTGGTCTCAACCCTATGTCCTTTAAAACGAGTTGTGTACCTACATCAATTTATGTTTTAGCCATAGTTTTTGTAAGACTTCTTTGGCATCAGATATCTCACAATTTATAAGTCATAGAAACTAACATCATTTCATTCTTTGTTGCATTGGGAGATGGGTGGTTGTAGCATTGGTCTTTTGGATGCTTTGATTGACCATCTCTACTTTGAAATCTCACCCTCAGCTTCTGCAAAGACATGTTCTTTGCATCTTTCTGGCATCTCCAGGCTTTACATCTGACTTCGTTCATGTATGTGGTCTCCTATAACTCAGGGCTCATTTCAAATTCTTCTTCACATGCAATCTGCTTGAATGTTACAAGCAAAATACTCTTACTTAAGAGTCTCTGTTTTCTTTCCTCATCTATCAGAAGGGCATATTCCTGCTTCTCGAAAAGCATCGTTGCTGGAAAAAAAATGAAATGGTAAACAACTGGACCGAGTGAGCCACAAACTGGTGCATCTTGACTGTCTAATTCATTGCATTAACTACAGTATGTTAGGATGGGAGGAGCAATATCCTAGTAAACATGAAGCTGAAAATTAACGGCATGGGATCTCTGCAATGCGCTGAGCAGCCATGAGCTGGTTCTTCTCATGGGCTCAAGAGTTTGTGTGCCATTTCCAGAAACACTCTGACTCTGTGAAAGGCCTGGGGATGTGTTGGAGTGATGGAGGAGAGCAGAAGAAAGGCATTCCTAACTCAGAAACAGGGCCTTGGGGAGGGGAGAATCCTTCTTTGACATAAGCATTTCTGTGCAGCTGGCTTTTGCTTTTAGTCCTGGCCCCTGCCCATTCAATAGCCTCAAAGCCATCATGGACTTGCAAGCAGAGTACACCTTTTTCCTTAGGCAAGCCAGGCACCTGAGCCTGCTCTGGGAATTGCTGTTCACAGTGGGGATGCCACTTTCCGTGCCCTTTCGTCGCTGAATAATTGTTTGCATGTTTCTTGGTCCCCTGTTGCCTAGATGGTTCTTTGTGTACTGGGTTTGCATGGAGGTCAGGACTTGAGGTAGCCAAAGGCATCGTCCCTCTGGAGAACGTATAAAATAACCCTCAGGGTTCCCTTCATAATCTAGCCCTGGACACCTGCCAGTCTCTGACATTGTAAACTAGTGATAGCGAAATTTGTTATCTGTTTATTATGACAGGATTCGTTTTTCTTCCCAATGCCCCTTCCAAAATTTTGCCCACATCTCTTTATTCTCTCATCCTATAGTCCATTCTTATCTGAGAAGATACTTGAACCTAAAGAAGAAAGGGAATTTGCAAACCTTGCACTGGTCTCCTGACTACCCAGAGCACCCCGCCCCCACCCTGAGTGATTGGCCTAGATCATCTAGGCCTCACACTGTACTCTTCGGTATTTCCATTATGACAAGATTGCCTTAAACCACATTTCCAGAACATAACCCTGACTGTCACGGACACAAATCAAAATTTTAGAGACAGGTTTGGATTTCTGGTTTAATGTTTATCAGCGGGAACCTGTATCCTATATAAGAAGCTCTGAGCCATAAGCCAGGAAACCTGGACTCTCAGTCTAGCCTTGCCTCTGGCTACCTTGAGATGACCTTGACCAGGTTTTTCCCAGGTAAAATGGGAGCAGAAACAGCCCCAGGGGTCCTATCTAGCCTGAAATCTCCAGGGTATTTCTGAAGGGACACTTGCCTGCTTGTGGCACTCTGGTTATCTGAAGATGGGGCCTTCATCCTGTTAGCCATTTCTCTCACACGACATCTGTATGGCTGCTTCTCCAGTCTGGCTGAGGTAACTCCTTGGAGGCCCAGCCTCTCCCATCAGCTCTATGCTCTGCCTTCTAGATGCCGGAGTCAGAAGAATCCCAAGATGTAGGCAGCTCTGAGGAGTCCAAGGGGAACTTGGAAAGTCCCAAACAAGGCAACAGTAAAATGAAGCTCAAGAGTCGTCTCTCAGGTAAGTGGCCGCCTCACCTGTGGAGAGTGAGAGAAACTTGCAGCCTCCAGAATGGAGAGACCACCCCATTAACAGGACGGACACTTTGGGGAGACAGTGGTACAAGGCTCAGGCTGGCCTTCAGCTTGTCAACTATCCCAGGCTGGCCTGAACTCACCATCCTCCTGCCTCATCCTCGTAAGTGGAATGTTAACAGGTTTGCACCTAAGGAGAGGAGTCCTTTATCACCTTAAAATCTCAAAAACGGTTTTCCTCTAGTGAGACATGCCCCAGCAGAGCAGCTACATTAAGCCTTAGCTGCCCACGTGACTACTTCTTTTGAGTCATTACAAAGTATGTGTCAGCATGGGTGTGTGTTGAAACTTCAATTTCCTGAATGTTTAACTCATTAATGTGGTTCCAGACGACCCTTTCAGTGTCAACTCTCGGGTGGCTCATATCTCAGCATGCACATGCCCCCCAAAACCCTCAGCCAACTAGAACAAGTGGCAAAGGATTTAACTCATCACATTTGCATCTCAGCTAAGCAGGAGAAATGGCGGACGAGGTTGCAACTTTCAGAACTGATAGATCCATATTCTACATGTCCTGGGTACTTCCCTAGATGGCCTGGCCTGTGCCCTGGGGGAGACAGCAGAAGACACACATGAATTTTATGGGTCCTTGACACTTTACTTTGTTGGATACTTTTTCCATCAAAAATTAAGTTTCATGACTGTGTTCATACGCCGATCCACAGTGGGTCACGTACTTGTTAACCAAGCTGGGATAGCCGAGTTCAGACCCTCAGTACTCACACAAAAGCCAGGCTTGGCACAGTTGAGTAATCCCAGTACTGGGACAAGGGTGTGGCAGACACAGGTGAATCCACAGCTCACTAGCTGAAGCAGCAAGCTTCCAGTTTACCTGGAGACGTAGCTCTAAACACCAAAGTGAAGAGCAAAAAGGAAGACACCTGCCGCCAACCTCTGACCTTCACAAGCATAACACACACACACACACACACACACACACACACACACACACACACACGTGTGTATGTGTAGACAGCAGACACCCCACTGGTTCCAGATGCACATGCATATACTACATTCTCGTGCACATCTGCCACACATGCATTCATCTGCACATCTGCCATACATGCACTCATGTACACATCTACCACATACATGCACTCATGTGCACATCTACCACATACATGCATTCGTGTGCACATGTGCCACACATGCATTCATCTGCACATCTGTCACACTTGCATTTGTCTGCACATCTGCCACACACATGCATATACTACATTCATGTGCACATCTGCCCCACATGTACTCATGTACATATCTACCACACATGGATATACTGCATTCATGTGACATCTGCAACACACATGCATCCGTGTGCACATCTGCCACACACAGTAAACTAAATAAGTAAGTGGTGCATAATAACAGAAGAAGATGCTGTTGTCAACCTCTGGCCTCTGCACGCACTGTATGGACTTGCATCCTCCCACACACATGCACACACACATACATGACACACACTAACATACAAGATATGTGCTGAATTCTTCTACTCATTACTATCATGCTCAACTTTTCCTGCATTTAAAAATGCACTAAAGTACTTTTATGGTCTCCAAATGTAGCATGGGTTCCTGGCACAGTGCCTCCTGGCCTAGCAGGTAACTTGGCTCCAGCTAAGTCACAGGCATTGGGAAAGGGGGGCAAAACTTAGCCTTGAGCCCCTAGCAGCTGGTAACGTTGCATCCTTAGGCTGTTTTTAAGCCTCCCTCAGCTTCCATTCCAACAGCTGCCCAAGAAAATTGATACCCTGACTTTGAAACATTAGGTAATGTTTTTGTTTCATCATGTATTTATTTATTGCTGCAGATGTGTGTGTACGTCATACGTATGCGGTGAGCAGGCTTGTGCGTGCTGTGGCACAAGTATGGAGGCCAGAGGACAATTTGGAGTTGGTTCCCCCCTTCTACTTATAATTGAACTCGGGTCATCAGGGTCATACAACGGGTGTTTATACCACAGGGTTATCTTGCTTGCCCGCAAGTCTTATTTTTAACTCTCAGAAAATCACCCAACACAATGCATAGTGTATTAACATCCCCTATCCCAGATCCCAGGCAAGGAATGAACGGTGCTGCCAGTGTACGTATCTGCCCCCATCATCTGACCCTCTTTATTCTCATAGAAGATAAATAGCATAGGACCATAAAGTACATCTCTGCTAAAGCTCTATTTACAAAAATTAGTTATTTTCTTGATAATTAGGAATAATTAGGCAGCATCATGTTAGGTTGATTTTTGGCAGAAAGGGGTGGCATCAGGTAGAGGCTAGAATGCTCTCACCTGGAGGGCAACAAGCAGCTCCCCACCAGCTGAGAGAGACCCCTTTAAATCCGGGCAGACAGGAGGCAGTGCTCAGCTTGGCAGAGTTTATCAACACTGTAATCAGTCCCCAGGGAGGCTCTCTGAGTTTTCAGGAGATACAAGGATCTTTGAAACTGACCGCAGTTACATTCCTTATTTTATAGATGAGATCAGAGCGGCTAAGGAAGTCCCAAAGGTCACTGGGTTGGAGCCAGGAAAGGGGCCTATGTTCCAGACAATTCTTCCCACCACTGGTTTCCCGGGGACAGGGAAAGGAATTCTGTCCCCTCCAGGGATTGTGGAAGGCTTTCTAGATTCAGATGGGGGTGGGGGTGTAGCTCAGAGACCTTCCAGATGTCTGATTTTTTTTTTCTAACCATACTGTCAGTTTGGAACCAGACACACCTTTAGCTGATAACCAGTCCAGGGCTGGCCACTGTTTGCGGCAGAGGGATCTCCCCTTCTCCAGCCCCCCCAAACCTGTGATAGGGAAGTGTGGAACTGGGGGGAGGAGGCATACACAGGCATCGGTTGGATGCATTCAGTTCCCAGCCCTGCCCCTGAGACAAGTGACCTGGGACCAGTGACTTCCGTATCGGTGAAAGGAGGACTGCACTAAGCGTTTATTCTCTCCGTAGATAGGAGAGCCTTCCATGCGGTCCAGCCTTTTGGATGACTGATGAGAGAATGTGGTTGGCACTGCCACTCCAGAACAGCACGACCGCAGTGGGCCCTTCCCTCAGAAGCACCCATCCATTGTTTTTATTGAAGGCATTATACTATGGTCGTTTTCATTTTCATTCTTATTGTTCTTGCCTCTTCCCCACTCAAGAGGGGGAAGCAAACGTTTGAATGGCTTCAGACAGGAAGGCCTTCGTGAGAACCTTTAGTCCAGGGAAGGCCACCCACACGCACACATGATGACAGCCTGCATAATGACACATACAAGCGGCAGAGTGGCGGGGAGTCTCTCTGGATTGTGGCACTCGTGGAAGCATTCAGAACCAGCAGGATAAAGGAGGGCTGAGACAGGGGTAGAAGACCAGGAGGAGGAGGGTGGGAGGGTTTCCAGGCAATGAGGGCTGTGGGATGCGGGGAGGGATGGAAGTTTGGGGGCAACTTTTTAATCCCGTCTCCTTGAAAGGCCTGGTATAATCTGATGGCAATAATGATTCAGCCCAGTAAAGCTTGGCAAGATCGCATTGGGGAAAAACTGCAGGCTGCTGAGGTTGGAGGTGATGGTGGACACAAGCTGGGGGGAGCTCGCGATATTTATATCCCAGTTCTGGAAATGAGTAGAGAGAGGCCCGCATGGGGATAGAGCACATTCATAGGGGAGGGTGGGAAGGGGTAAGACTGGCAGCTTCGTGTGGGGAACACGCCAAAGAAGCTTGGGGCTTTGACAGCGCTGTGGACCGCTTCACTAAAGACATATGCATGTAGGAGTTTGTTTATTTCTAGTGGGAATGTATGTGTGTCTGTCTGTGCCTGAGGAGCTGAGAGAGGCGTAGGCGTGGACTCTGAAGCTGGAGTTCCAGGCACCTGTGAGCTGCCTGATGTGGGTCCTGGGGGGGTCAAGGTGTGGTCCTCTACAAGAGCAGTGTATGCTGTAACCACTGAGCCATTTCTCCGGCCCCACATGGGAGGTTTCAATACCATGGGATCTGCACTTGTCTGTCTTCCAGATCTGGGTGTTTGTTTCATATGCCTGAATGAGTCACTGTGGTAGTCACGTATCAGGGTATTATCAATGGATGCTACCGCGTGTGGTTTCTCTCTGTTGATGACAAGCGCCTCCCTGTCAACCCAAAAGGAATTTTCTTCTAATAAATCTTTTTTCAGATGAGTAAGCATGCCAAAAAAAGATTAATCTGACCCATGAATTACTAAGTTATGAATTATTTAAGCTTGTGTATGAGGTTCCAGCAACTTCCATGAGGGTTTTGCCTAGTCTGGCTCCAAAACGACTAAAGCAACATCATTTGTCATTTCATAGAACATTTTTCTAATACTCTAGCCCAAGTTTTCCTTCCTGCCCACTCCTTTTCTCGCCAGCAGGGATCGCCTTTAATTTCAGTACTTTTGATTTATCCACGTTAACCGCTTAAGTTTGTGATCTTTTTAAATGCAAATTTTTCCTTGGTTGCAAAGGGGTTTCAGGTGTTTGAAATTAACTTCACAAAGTTAATATGTAATGTGTGAAAAGTTAAGCCTTAAGTGACATCCACTAGCTGTATCAGCACCATACCATTATTAAAAACTCAGTAACATGTGATTTTTAAAAGTCTACCATTATCTCGTCTTATTCCATGAAAAACTTAGAGGCAATTTTAGATGGACATTGGACACCATCAAATCACCATCTAGAAGCAATCAGTTTGCTGAGGATTCAGTGTATGGAGCTGGAGAGATGACTCTGAGGTTCAGAGTTACATACAGTTCTTACCTCTGTTCAGTTCCCAGCACTCATAATAAAGTGGCTGACAACAGCCCATAACTCCAGCTCCAAGGGATTCAACAGCTCTGTCTCTACAGGCACCTTCACTTGTGTGCATATGCCCACACACAGACATACCCAAGTACACATAATTAAAATTAAATCTTAAGAATCATCTATAAATGGAAGGCTTTTTTTTCTGTCTAGCTGGGTCCCATTGAACCGGTTTCTCTCCACCCTCTGGATCTGCAAAGCCGCTTATGAGATAACCACTCAGAGTCTTAATATATATTTATAGTTGTTTGGCCAACAGTGAGCTAAAACAGACCCTTTCTCTTTAAATTGTCAGGGTATTTTATTAAAGCAACTAAATTTAGACTATATAATATCTAAAATGAAACTATGACACCATCTTATTTTGTATAAATATACCCCACACTCCTCAAAACACCCTGCCATTAATCCATAAGTGACTACATCATTCTATTAAAATTACGAATTTTTATTTGCCAGAAGATACCATTAGGGTATGTAAGGCATAGATGTGGGGAAAATATTTATAATTCATAGATCCCACAAAGGATTCATAATCTCACATAGTAAAATTTTAAAAACTCCCTAGAAATTAATAAGAGAATCTAATAAAAGAATGGACAGAAATTTTAAGCAGATGCTTTACAGAAGGGGTTGACTAATGTCTGTATATGCAGACACCTGAGCTCGTCAGTCATCAGTGGAACGAAAATTGAAAACCATGGTAAGATCCCATTATGCACCCAGGAGAATGACTGGCGTTAAAGACTGATGGAGAGCAGGATGGCATGGGGAAGACAGAGTTCACCCTGCAGGTAACAGTGACGCAGAAGGAAGCATGCAAGGAGCCAGCACCTGCACATCTGCATAGCATTGGGAAGACCTTACACTCACAGGGGCATGCAGGAGACCACAATAGCTGGAGTCAGCAAGCTGTGGCCAAAATGCTTCCTACATTTCTAGTGGGTTGCTTGAAAAAAAGTAATGTGTGGGCAAAAACATACTATGTGTACCAGTGCATACACAAATTACTACTGGTTCACATTTAAAGCTGGAAACGATCCAACATCCTTCGGAATAGAATGCCCAAAGTGTCATGTGTGTTTATACATTGAAATGCTATGCAGAATGGAAATGAACAAACTGTTGACGACAAACAGTATGGATGTGTCTCACAAATGAAGTATGTTAAGGATAGGCAAGATGGCTCATGAGTAATAATGCTAATGACCTGAGTTCCATTCGCAGGACCCACATAGTGCGAAGAGAGAACCGACTCCTACAAGCTGTCCTCTGGCCTCTACATTACCCACCATGGCATATGTGCTCATGTATGCATACATACACAAATAAAAATATAGTAATGTTTAGATCTTACCATTGGGTGAGGAGCAATCAGTAAACCAAGGAGGCTTTTGAGATTCTGGTTAATGTCTCTTGATTAGTGTGTTAGAGGCCATGTGAAATTTCATTCATGTGTTTTTGTGCACATTTAAGTTATACTTAATAAACATTAATTTAAAATGATATTTAGAAAGTCACTACTAAGCCAGGCACAGTTGTACATACCAGTTATTTCAACACTCAGGGATTGGAAGTCACAAAACACAAGAGAATTCTGAATTCCAGACCAGCTTGTCTGCAGAGCAAGACCTTTATCAACTGTACATCTCAAAAAAAGTCAATATGGTATGTGGAGAAAGCACCCACCCAACAGTGAAACCATGACAACCACAAAGTGATGCTCTGCCGTCTCTAGACCACCTGCCTATGGCCCCCTCACTAGTATATGCTGTTCCTACCACCCCTGCATTGGTGGGACTCAACACACACATTGCTCCTTAGGCAGTCTTGTCACTTCAGAAACTCCTAGATTTTTGTAGCTCAGTATCAGTTTCTTTGAGCTTATGCAGAACCTGGTGCTAGGACTGGGCAACCTTGGTCCTTTGTGCGTCTTCAACTCCAGACCTTCTGAAACCACATAGTGATTGGAAATGTGATGGTTAGGCCATTTGGTTCTGTTTGTACTCTGTTTTGTCTCGGGCCTTATCAAGCCCTGCCTCCACCATTTTTTGTTGCAGGAGGTGTCCACCGCCTGGAGTCTGTTGAGGAATATAATGAACTGATGGTACGAAACGGAGACCCTCGGATCAGGATGCTGGAGGTCTCCAGAGATGGCCGGAAACACTCTCTTCCCCAGCTCCTGGATTCTACTGGGACATCACAGGTTAATCCTGGCCTGTGGGGCTTTGGTTCACTCATGGTCACCATTACTTGGTTAGAGACCAAAGCACAGATTTGCAAACCCTGTCTCCAAGATTGTGTGTGTGTGTGTGTGTGTGTGTGTGTGTGTGTGTGTGTGTGAATACATTTTATTTCTTTCCAAAGACCTCTGTGGACTCCTGGTCAGGAGAGCTGATAAGGGTCATGCATATTTGGGCCTAGAGAGAGCATTAGAACCTTGGAGCGAATGTGGGGTCTACCCAGAAAGATTAGAAGGAAGCCAGCTCAAGGGTTGAAGAAAGTGGGGAAATATCTCTTAATCGAGCTCAGCATCTTGGTTCTCTTCATGCTGTGTGTTTTGGAACTAAGAATTGCTCTCAACTGCCAGGAGACAATGGCGTCTCAGAGTCTGTGGCAAACCACCATTGCTTATTTAATAGGAGCATCGTGTGTCAGAATAACAACTATGTGGGTGAGTGTGAGCACGCATGCCTGTACCATGCCTGGGATCCTACCTGCTATCTGATGATGACTCCAACAGCCAGGGTCAAGTTCACTATAGAGGACCAAAGCAGGTGGTTAGCATTAGGGAGCCTGTTCCTGTGAAGAACTCTGTCTCTACAACCCTGAATAGGAGTTGGAGTGCCTCCTCTGTTACCTTGTCCCTGGCTCACTGGCAACTAGGTGACAGGCTAACGACCAGTTTGGAAGGAGGCTCAGTCTCCAGGGAACTTGGGGTTCTTTAAGTCCTGGTACCATCAGGCAAACAGGAAATCACTAGTGCCCCCACCCCTACCCCCACCCCAGGACATATGGGAAAAACAGGGCCGGAAGAGGAGGTTCCAGCAGCAGTGCTGTCCCTAATTACACGTGGGGACTCACAGGAGTCTAAGGGTTTTAGACCCTTTCTTTTAGTGTCATGACTGCTCTGCCAGTGGAAAAACTGAAGCTCAGAATGGCTAATTATTTTACTCAGGGTTACCAGTGTCTGAAGAAAGACTATAGTCAGTTGTGGTATTTATGGCTTTTGTTTTCTCTGTCACTCTTTACCTGATGGGGGGGTGGGCAAGGCCGTGTGTCAAAGTGGGTGCTGATTGGCTCATTTTATGTCCAATTCGATCCAAGGCAGATTGAGATGGGGGAAATGCTGGGAGAACAAGGGATAAAGAATTGAGTAGGATCTGTTCAAACTCATCTAGACCAACAGGAAAGAGTCAGGTCTGCGGCCTCCTCGGAGTGACCCATTGGACCCCAGAGAGCAGAGGGAGACCAGGAAGGGGTTGTAGAACCTCCCTGTTGGGCTGCTGAAGGGTGAGAGAGAAGCCAGGATTTACTTCCATCATGACCAAGCCCTCCCACTCACATCCATGTTTTATAGCCCAGAAACGCCCATCTAGCCAGGCCTCCGAAAGCTTGTGCTGGGGTAGAAAGTCTTACCAGAGAGTCTTCCCCTCTTTACTTTGTCCTTTCTCTTACCTTCGGCCCTTCTCTTTTTCTCCCAGGTTTTATACACACACACACACACACACACACACACACACACACACACACACACACACACACCTTTTTTTCCTCCACTAAAAAGTGCTGCCCAGTGTAGAGTTACCCAGTAAAACTTTGGGCATAGATATAAGTGGTTTGTGCATCAAAGATGGCAGCTGTGTGCGTGTGTCAGCCCGAGCATGCAATGGTGGAGTTGAGTGCATTTTAATCGTGGTGAGCCTTAATCCAAACACAGAGCCACTGGAGGCCAGTGGGTAGTGCCTCATTAGATAGCACGGGTCTACACAGCACTGAGTGACCCATAAAAGAGCCACATGGAGCACATAGGCCTTTGGCTTCTGCTCGTTTCCAAGAGAGGTAGCATGAAGCACGGCTGAAGACTGGTGATCAGAGAAAGGGGTCCCCAAGGGGATCATACGTGAACCTCTGTGTTTGAGGGCTGGCAAACCACAGGCTGAGTCTGGCGTGCTCTGCGGTGGTTTCAGTAAATGGGCAGTAACACTTGCCAAGCCCACATCATTTATTTAATGAGACCAAGTCTGGGCGGCCCATGTTACTAGCAGATATCTATTCTGTCAAAACGCAAGTATAAGTCCTCTAAGCCGACAGGAGGTGGATGTAAAATAGCCCTGGCCAGAGGGAATATCTCTTTCCTACGTATGAATGAAGCAGACACAAATCAAGGAAAAAACTATCTTTGTGGTGGTTCTTTTCTCCTATTAAACATGAAATGCTATTTTCCCCTTATGCTATGATATCTGTACCACATAAAACATTTATTATTCTAAGACTCGCTTTAGCAGTAGTCACTTAATCTCTTGATTATGTTATCAGTATGTGTTCTGCTGACACACAAGAATGTCATGGGTGAGGGCATGAAACGGGGGTTGAGGTTGGAGCTGCTGGCCAGAAGGAGAAAGTGTGGCTTATGGGAAAGTATTTGATTAGAGTTGAAATGGCTGTCGTTTCTCAGCAGGGTATTTTATGTGGAAAAACAGTAGTTGTCTGGGTTTGTGGTTTGCAGTTTATAAGAAACATGGGCTTGCTGAGTTTTTGAATGAGTAAGTTAAGCTTAAAATGGTGAGATACATTTTAAAGATGATTTTGAACTTGAGGTGGAGGTGGGAGAGATTTCCAAGAAGAGCCCAACCCCAGGGTGGTCATCTTTGTTCTCCTGACTCCGTTCCAGAAGGATCTGTGCCATACGGTTGAGAACAGAGTGACACACAGGTGCTTGGGGTCACTAAGCAGCCCTGTGTGACAGGGCAGGTATGGCAGGACACAGCAGTGGGAGCCCCTGCTCCAGCAGCATTTAGAGTAAACTTTCTTTAGGCCGGCGGACCACAAATGGGCCAGTAGGGAATCCCTAACACAAAAGACAGCTGAGATTTTCAAAGTCTCTTTGTATGCCTGCGCCTGCAGCGGGGCAAGTGAAAATATCTGGTCTTGTCTTGCGCTGGCTTTCAGGAATACCACATTGTGAAGAAGTCCACCCGCTCTCTGAGCACCACCCACGTGGAATCTCCGTGGAGGCTCATTCGGCCGTCCGTTATTTCCATCATCGGGCTGTACAAAGAGAAAGGCAAGGTGAGCTAGTTTCTGCAGACTCTTTTGCCTTCCAGGTGAGTGGTAGTGTTCGTTTTCATCTTTATTTTGGTTTTGTTTTTACATTAACAAATAACAACTATGGAGAGGGATAATAGAACTTCCCCGGCATTCCTTCTTTGTGAGCCTCACAGGGAGAGGCTGGCACACCCTCCTTGCCCTATTGATACAGGCAGTTGCCAGCCCCCCAACAGATTCAGAAAGAGTGATCGTCCAATCTTTTTGGTTCGGTTTCCAAATCTTTTCCCCATGGGAAGAAATATACCACCAACACCCTCTATCATTTTGAGTGATGTCCGTGTACAAATAACTTGATGTTGCATAAATATTAAAATACCCACTTTGACATCATACAAAATGGAAAGACTGAAATAAATGTGGCAACCATAAGGTGTGAAAAGACTTGAAGAGCTGGGCGGTGGTGGCGCACGCCTTTAATCCCAGCACTCGGGAGGCAGAGGCAGGCGGATCTCTGTGAGTTCGAGGCTGGGCTGGACCGATAGCCTCCAAAACAATACAGAGAAAAAACCCTGTCTCGTAAAAACCAAAAAAAAAAAAAAAAAAAAAAAAGGAAAGACTTGAAGAGCCCTTTTGCTCATTAGTGGGGAACTGATTCTTGGAGTCAAAGACTCTCAAATATTAGAAATTTCAGATGTTCAACCTAAATCTCTCCGTTAATATGGCACAGGCCTAGTGCATTACAGCTATAACTGAGGAGGGGATGGGGAAGGAAAACTTGAATTTGAAACTAGTTGCCTACCTAACCCCCAAGCCTGAGTAGAAAAGATGCCTAGGTCAAATACTACAGTATTTGAAATATTGGAGAGGTTTTTTCAGTTAAATTCTGTAGTGTCAACCTGGACTCTTGTCCTTTGAACATAGGGCCTTGGCTTTAGCATTGCTGGAGGCCGAGACTGCATTCGAGGCCAGATGGGGATTTTTGTCAAGACCATTTTCCCAAACGGATCAGCCGCGGAGGACGGCAGACTCAAAGAAGGTAGGCGAGAGTCTCTTGGTGATGTGCAGTGACAGCCTGAGTCCTTGAAAGTCTGGCCCCTTGCAAGATGTGCCTGGATGGCATGGCAGCTGAGGCCGTGGTCTTGAGGGTGTGGTACACCTGACTGAATCCAGCACCTCCTCATCAGGGTCTTGGGCAGACCACATAACCCAAGCTTCACTCTCCTGGGCTACTTGGAACAAACTTGGAATGTTAATACCTAACCTGAAGTGTTTTTTGTGGGGATGAAAAGAGACTGTATATAGGAAGTGGCTTGATGTTTCTGTTGCTGACTGTACATATTAACTGTGGCTACACGGTTAAATACTGGTCCTTGCTCAGGTTCTCTGCCTTAAATATTCCTGAGAATTTGACAGTCCAGGCTTACCTTAGCGCTAATGGGAAAACATCGCACTTTAAAAGCTATTTAATGTCTTGTTGTTGGAATCAATACTATGTAGCTGGATCTAACTGAATGCCTTTCCATTCTCCATAGTGTCTACCATGTTATCAAACATAAATATAACTGTCAAGTGATTTTGGGTGTAGATTAAACTATCACTGAGATTTAAGTTACACCTTTTAAATAAAATTTTCAAACATTTAACTACACCTTCTATTTTTGGTCCTTTAAATGTTTACAAAGCATATCTATGTATTTAAGTATTTAACTGTATTACAAACCTGTAGAGTAGATACTTTGGAGTAAGTCTTTTATAGGCGAGGAAACCACTACTCAGAAATGTTCAGTAACTAGAAACCTGTTCCCCTCACTGTGTAACCCTGGCTGGCTGGAACTCCCTGTGTAGACCATGCCTCCAACTTGCTAAGATCTGCCAGCCTCTGCCTTGTGCATGCTAGAATTAAATGCATGCACATGCCCAGTCATAGTAGTTTCTTATAATAAAGATATTCTTCTCATCGTATATGTTTGCATATCTTACAAAATATTTATCTGGATTAAGACTGTTGACTTTCGTGAAGCAAAATTGCCTAAATTTGCATAGCCTGTTCCCCTTCCCTTTTAATATGCATTTTATCTATAAGTTGCATTTATTTATTTTGGTGTGTGTGTGTGTGTGTGTGTGTGTGTGTGTGTGTGTGTGTGCAGTTGGGTCACAGTGCATATGCAGATGTCAGAGCTAGAGGAGTTAGCGCTCCATTCCCACAATGTGTGTTCCAGGACTCAAACTCATGTCATTAAGCTTGGCGGCAAGCTCCCTTACCCATGGAGCCATCTCACTGGCCCAGTATCTGTGCTTCCTGAGGTGATTATGTTAGGATATTTCTATTGACCTTTGGAAATGATATGACTGTCCAATTCTGTTGATTCAAAGTGTAGTGGCCACTATGTTTTACAGGTTTACTTCTTAAAAACAGAAATAGTAAAGGGGATCAGAGTGCCCTGGTTTGTAGAAGCCTTCCTGTAACAGTATGATTTGACCAGGCAAAATATTGATCTCCCTCTCCGCCTGAGGAACAGTTACCCCCTGGTGCTATTGGTATCTAGTTTCAGAGCAGTGTAAAAATCTAGTGGAGCAGTCGTAGGATGGATGTGCCACCATGTTCCTTGATTGAAATTTGTCCTGTGAGGTTGGTAGAATGAAGCAGAATACAGGGGGAAGAATCAATCACTATGAACGGTTAATAGTGGACGAGTCTCCTAAATACTATTTTTTCATATGTGTCCATTTATGAGAAAAGCGAGTCCCAGGGCTGGGTTTCCAGCCTGCTGAATGATGCACTTAAAAGCTCTCCTATAAATTACAAGCGTGTGAGCAGTCATTTCAGAGTTTCTGCCCTGTGCCCATGTGGATGCACCCTCCGGTTATAACTAAATAGTTAGTGATGGCAGGCGATTTTTAAACGGGGATCATTTCACTTACAGTACGACTTGTGCCATTGCATAAAAGAGAATGCATGGGGTATTGCTACATTTCTATACCTCGTCTGGAGGGTACCAGACTGCACAGCATGCTCTGAGATTGGCTGTCTGGGGTGAGCATGTGTGGTTTCTGCTGCTTGAACTATCTTGTGCACAGTCTCTCTCCCCTCCTGCATTGCCAGGCAGAGTCTGTGTGCTTTTTCTGGGACATCTTTTGGTGTTTGATGAGCCCAAGTCACAAGAGTGCAAATGAGAAACACTTTCTCAGAAGTCAATAGGATGTCCACATCCACTGACATTCCCAGAAGGCACTATGAGCAGCATGGAAAATGATCTGACTATAGATCTTCACCATTATTTGAGCTAGCGAGAAGCCAGTGGGCATAGCACACACTCCTCACAACTTAGCATGCCCCACCGTCAGTTGGCATCAACGTGCAGTGGTTTCTCAGGCAGACGCCCATGGTCTTGCCAGTCTAAAGGAGCCCCTGGGACCTGCCCCAATAAGACTGGAACTGGGGCTATCAATTCTCAGTCATATCTCATGAAGATTTAGTCTCTGCTATTGATTAAAAACCCATTCCATGTCTAGTTGAGTCTCTGGACTTGGATAGCTTATCTTTCTACAGATAAGGAAGTGACTTCCCAAACATGCCTATGTTCATGCTTCCTTGCCAATAGGTTTACATTTTTAGGCAAGACCATTTAAAACCTGAAACTGCAGTTCAGACTCTGACAATAAGATATTTCTTGCCAAAGGTGCCAATGGTTAATAATTAGGTCTTCAAGTTTTCCACTGTTGATTTTTGGCTTCTGGTGTTTATGGTTGGTTAGTTTGTTAGCTGGTTGATATTTTATATTTGTTTTGTGTTAGTGTGTGTGTTGTTGTCTTTGTTAATCAATTGGTTAGCTTGGTTTGGGATTTTGTTTTCTTTTGGTTTTGGTGATGGGTAGTGGCTTTTGGTTGGTTGGTTGGTTGCAGTTGGTTTAGGTCGTGTTTTTAGTTCAGACAGTATTATTTGGTAATGCAGGCTAGCTTTGACTATTACCCCAGAGAGCCTTGGTCCTCCTTCCTCAGCCTCTCCAAAGCTGGGGTCCCAGGTTGCCCTACCAAATACAGCCCTGCAGTTAATTAAATATTGGTTATAGAATTATTGCTGAATAACACAAGTTTGTTTTTTTAATTTGTATTTATTATCCTATTTAGGGGGCATTGCTAGAAGCTAAGGTAGTTAAAATGGACCAAAACCGCCGGGCGGTGGTGGTGCACGCCTTTAATCCCAGCACTCGGGAGGCAGAGGCAAGCGGATCTCTGTGAGTTCGAGGCCGGGCTGGACCGATAGCCTCCAAAACAATACAGAGAAACCCTGTCTCGTAAAAACCAAAAAAAAAAAAAAAAAAAAAGGACCAAAACCATGAGAGTCAAGTTCATAGGGTATACCACTGTAGTTCAAGCCAAGCAGAGTGCAGTAAATTAAAGCTTAATGGACTTCCTTGTTTGGTCACCAGGAGATGAAATCCTAGATGTAAATGGCATACCAATAAAGGGCTTGACGTTTCAAGAGGCCATTCACACCTTCAAGGTAACCGTGTCCCCTTGGATCTCCCTTCACCTCTTCCTTTTCTTCCCTTCTGGGTTTTGTCCATTTGCCACAATAGCAATCTGACTGTTTCCACCCACTACTTGTTTTGCAGCAAATCCGAAGTGGGTTGTTTGTCCTCACGGTGCGCACGAAGTTACTCAGCCCCAGCCTCACACCATGCTCCACTCCCACACACATGAGCAGATCCAGCTCCCCAAGCTTCAACACCAGCGGGGCACCCCCAGCAGGAGGAGGCCCTGAGGAAGGCGGTTCTTCATCTCTGGGGCGGAAGGCTCCCGGGCCCAAAGACAGGATTGTCATGGAAGTCACACTCAACAAAGGTACCACTGATGACTCCTCACTCCCTACTTTCTCCTGAACACCAGTCCAGGATCTGTTTTTACTGTGCATTCTTGAAATCGGTCCTTTGGATCCACCTGCTGTCAGCAGCACACACAGTTCTCTAAGCAGCAGGGGTAGTCAAAAGGAGGGATGCTCACTCGGTTTACAAAAGGGGGAGGGGAAGTCGCCAGTCTTCAAAGTTCTCCCCATGAATCACCACGTGTCAGGGACTTGCGTTAAAATGAGTAGTTTAAGTCCAGCCTTCTAAAATTGTAAATACTGGTCAACACTAGTAACTACAAATCACAGGTACTCAGCAAATCCTACTGGTTTTTCTCATTTCTCCCCTCCCCGGCTAGTACTCACTGCAGAAAGATAATCAACAATTTTAAATAGCCAAGAAATTATTTGAAGGTCAGCAAAGTCTAAAAGATTTCATATTCCGGATAAAAATATTAGTCATTCTCCAGCTATTTCCAGAGACAGATTTGAGGAAGTTCTTTAGACTAAGCAGAGAGTAGAGCATGAGATAACTTGAAAAGCGGGATTTACATTCTCTGTCTGAACCACACTAAAAGCTTACTGGTCTGGATAGCCATTAGCACTGTGTAAATTGCTTGCATGCTTTCTGGTTAGCATGTAATGTTTGCTCCTGTTGTCTTTGTGTCATGCCTGTCCCAGAGCCAAGAGTTGGACTAGGCATTGGTGCCTGCTGCTTGGCCTTGGAAAACAGCCCTCCAGGTATCTACATTCACAGCCTTGCCCCTGGATCGGTGGCCAAGATGGAAAGCAACCTGAGGTTAGTTATATCCCTGGCATTATACAGTCCTGGTATGGTCTCGAGTTGTGAAGACACACATTATTATTGCTTAGACACAGGCAGGGACAGGGAGACACATAGCCCAAACTGTCTTTGAGCTTAATATATAGCTAAGGATGACCTTAAACTTTGATTCCCTGCCTCTACCTCCCTAATGCTAAGATTCTAGGTGCGTTCCACTATGCCCATCTGGTCTATTTATTTTTTCTGTGGAATTCAACAACTGTGACTTTCTAATAATATGTCCAAGACTGAAGTTAATAACATCTCCAAAGATGAAAATCTCATATGAGTCAAATTTGGTTGGATCATAGGACTTGGTTTCTGTGATGGTTAACTTGACACAGTCTAGAATCACTTGAGAGGGATTATCTAGAGCAGGTTAGCCTGCAGGCATGTCTTTAGGGGATTATATTATCTTATGTTAATTGTGGTGGGAAGTCTGCCCACTGTGGGTGGTGTACCATTCCCTAGGAAAGGGATCCTTAATTGTAGAAAAGTGGTAAAAGCAAACCAAGTGTGTGCTCTTGGCTATAGATGTGACTAGATGCTTCAAGTTGCGGTGTCCCGGCTTCCCCACAGTGATGGCGTACAGCCTGGAGTTGGAAGCTACATAAGCCTTTTGTCATATGTTGTTTTATCACAGCAACAGACAACAAAATTACCACTGCTTTCCTACCTGCTTTGTTATGTTTAGACTCAGAAGTTCAGTGTTAGAATTTTGAAAAAAATATAACTCTATGCAGATTATCTGCAGCTAGTTCAATACACTCCTTCACTTTTTATTTCTTTATTCAAACTTCATCCTATAACCTGGATCTGCTTATATCAGTACAGTGGCTGGATGCAAAAGAGCCCTGAAATCCTGTAGTTTTTTAACTTTTTCAAAACTTTCATTGCCATTTGAGTAATGATGACTAGAGTCACTGCCATCTAAAAGATTTCTTGACTCAGACAGTTGAGTTATATAATCAGCGCTCTGTGTACACAAGAAACCTTAATAGTCTCTTATACAGTAATTGCAGTAGTTGGTGCCCACCTAAATATCACAAAAATGTGCACACGTTACACAGAGTACTCTGTGTAAACAGTATCACCTTTCTCCCCCATAAGCATCTAAGTCTTTTGGCAGTTGAAGAATCATCAAAACAGCATTCGTTGGTTGCCATTTTGGAAGCTGTGTTAATAGATTATATTACATTTTTCATTAATCATCAGAGTGAACTTCCATATGAAAAAAAAACTTAGCAAATCATCCAACGTACATTAAAGAAAATATACTTTTAGAACCCAAGGAAAAAAAATCCTTTAATGACATCCCAAGTTGATGTTTCTTTCTTGAATGGTTCCATATGCCTGGGGCGAGCCAAATGAACATTCCTCAAAACCCATGTAAAGGGTCTTTGTTCTCTCCTGCTGAGCGCATTCCCGATAATTTCAAGTCAAAATAGGCAACTTGTCCTAAATTTCTCATTTGTTCAAATTTGAAATATTTTTACAAATTCTTAGGTAACCTTGGAGCTTCAGATATTTCTTCCTTCGACTATATTAAATAATCATTTCAAGATGGTAGGAAGAAAGATGAAACTGATGGTGGTCAAGAGGCTATCATGTGATAATTACACAGACCCAGGCTAACTCAAGTGTGCTGTATCTGAGTAGTCTCTGTGAGCCTTTCGGAAGTATTATATAAACGTCTTTGTATAGGATCTCACAATACAGTTGATGCTCAACGAGTGGTACCCTCCATTGTTGGTTTTTATCAGTTTTATTCAAGTTTACTATTTCTGATAGTGGCCTTGACCAGTTTAAAATATAATGTTTAGCCTGGCGTTGAGGCAGAGGCAGGCGGAGCTCTGTGAGTTCGAGGCCAGCCTGGTCTACAGAGCAAGTCCCAGGACAGCCTCCAAAGCTACAGAGAAACCCCGTCTCAAAAATCAAAACAAAACAAATATATATATACATAATGTTTATATGAACATATTGCTTTTTATATCTGTATAAAGATGAAAGAGTGCCATTTGCTTCTTTGAAGTATTCAGAAAAGATTTCATACACTATACCCTTCCTGAAAGAAAGCTGTCTTAGCTTTTAAAAATCTGAATGTTGCCACAATGTGTTATTATGTCTCCCTCTCTAGCCGGGGAGACCAAATCCTGGAAGTGAACTCGGTGAACGTGCGCCATGCAGCCTTAAGCAAAGTGCACGCCATCTTGAGTAAATGCCCACCTGGACCCGTTCGCCTGGTCATCGGCCGGCACCCTAATCCAAAGGTGAGGTATTTGACCCTGCTTTTGGGACGATGGTTTGGCTGCTTGTTGGGCCAATGACAGCATTCATACCTGTGCTTCAGTGAGAGAGCTCACCCTGCGGCAGCTGGGTGTCAGCCTGATGCACATGGGAAGTGAATATTGGATCTTGACTTCATCTTCACCCTAGAAAATTTTATTGGAAAATGTTGTCAAGGTTATTTGGTGAATTTAAATCTGATCTCATGGAAAGCAGGACTCTGAGTAATGCCCATGGCTGCTTGGCTGCTGGTAAGATATTTAATACCTACATCAAGAAACCCTGAACATGCCAGGCTAGATCATCTCTGTAACCCTTTGAGATTTGAGATAAGAAGTCTTGGGAAGATGGTTCAATGAACCAAGCAATTGCCATAATGTGAGATTCATTACCTAATGGTTCATTGAGCATCCACTATACAGACGGATGAGATTGTAGTCTCCTGAGAAGAGGCTCATAGCCTAAAGTCCATTGTGTCTTACAAAGACGTCACAAATTACACCAATTTGGGAGCATATTTGTGTTTGTGAGTGACAGCAGTAACTTATGTCAAACCTTCTGTCACCCATGCCCCCAAAAGACAACTGATATGTTAAGGGTGAGAATGTTAAACAGATGAAAGAACTGAACTTATGTTAAAGAGATGTTCCTCCTGACCTCCACAGATGCTTCTGTAATTACGACCTAAGAGCTCACTAACATGTAAAAACAAAACAAAAAAAATTGAAATCACTTTTCAACTGTTGACCCACAGAGACTATTTGGTCATCTCTCCTCTGTACGGTTGCTTTTAAATGTTTTAAGTAAACCATAGATACCTCAGCAAGTTCAATATTTTGCGGAATATATTACTCAATGTAAAAAATGAGTTTTCAAACTTGTGACAAGATTGTATGTAAACTCAGAAGGCTCAGAACATTAGCTCTTCCTGATATGCAGCAGACGAGATGCGGTATCATTTGTCTCATTATCCTGAGTGGTCCCAGGCTCCCGAGCATCTTAGACTTCTATGCCAGTGAAGGCCATGTCTGCAGCTGCTGCTGCTGCTTCTGTAGCTTCTCCTCCTCCTTCTGTTGTTGTTCTTGTGTTCTTGCTCTTTGTTTTTGAAGACAGGGTTTCCCTGTGTAGCCCTGGCTGTCCTAGAACTCCCTCTATAGACCAGGCTGACCTCAAGCTCACAGATCCGCCTGCCTCTGCCTCCTGAGTGCTAGGATTAAAGGTGTGGGCCACCACCTCTCTGCATCTGCATCTTCATGATGGCATCATTTTAAACACTGAGTGGTGTTAGTTTGTGGAATTGGCCCTGCCCTATGCAGATGAGTGTTGACAAGCTGTAACTCCATGTCTTTGCCTGGGAGTGTGGCGGCAGTGATGATGCTGGGACAGAGATCCCTTTAGACTGATGCAAAGACAACTGCACTGGTTTGGGTTGGTGTTGGTTTGTTTTAGTTCTTTTTCTAGATTGTTTTATCTATATGCACTCTCAAAAAAATATATATATATATAATCTGTTCTACTTGGTAAAAATCTTTCTGCTGCTGTCCCTGTAGTTCTCTCTGGGTCACATTTAACACCATTTTGCTTTGTGATTCCAACAAGCGAGAGCAGTTCCCAGCTCCTTCCTCCGCTGAGACTTCAACACTCTCATCATCTCTTTTCACACCGTCCAGCATGCTGTAGCTGACCCAATGCCAGCCACCCCAGTGACATTAGAATGTAAGCCACTGGCCTCAAGGCCCAGCTGACTCCCAGCATCACGTGGGTGGTGATGTGCTCAGAGTCTGCTTCATCTCAGCCCAAAAGCTATTTGCCATCACCACCCATATCAAAACACTATTTCCATGCACAGCCTAATCGTCCGTATAGACTGGTGGTCTGAGACCCCCATTGAACACACAAATGGAGTGGTTTTCCCAGCCACAGTGTGATGGCCTGAGACATGCCAGGGATGTGTCCAGCAAAACCTCACTTGAGTATTGGACTGGCTTTGATGTTTCTTCCTAGGTCAACATAATGTTCTTGGTTGTCACATGATACTATATTTTTCTTCTGGTCAAGATTCCATCTTTGGTTTAATGTATTTTCGTACCACTAATTCAGCATTCCGTGCCAGGAGGACATTTTGATACAGAATACATGTGCTGCCTTAGTTTTTGTGTGGTTCCAAAAGAAACACCACAGCATTTTCTCCTCTCCTGTTTCTCATGATGTGTGGAGCAGTGGCTGCCCAGCTGGGATAGTCAAACCTTCCAGGTCTAGACAGCTAAGATTTGGACTTGTTAGGACAGCAGCTTCCTGCTTATGCTGAGTTAGAAAAGGAACGGGGGGGAGGGGGTGACAGAAATCGGCTTTGCTCCCACTCAGAAAAAACAGTTGCAAATATTGAAAGTCTGTTGTCAAGAAAAACACCATCATCGATGCTGACATTTTTCCTGGCTCATTTGTACTGTTCTTGTTTTGTGGAAGGAGTGTGTGTGTGCCAGCCTACGTGTGATTTTATTTCCTGTGAGTTCCACTCTAAAGTATTACATAAAGGCCATTGTGTGATTATGATTCATCTATTAGGGTAAACCCTGCATTTATTTATTAAGACAAATCCACATTCTTATCCAAATAGGATTTATGTTAAATATTATATTAGTATACAAAATTACCATCCACGGTTTAAAATATCCCTACCTTGAAACAGAAACTAAGTGTTTTAATTATCTTTTGAAATAGAATCACAGTTTGGTATATATGAAGCTTTAAAAAGAAATTGCCTGTGAATAGTGACGGTTAAGTATAATGATTAGGGACCTGGGAAATGGTTCAGTGGGTAAGATGCCTGCTGTGCCGACACAAGGACCTGATTTCAGATTCCCACCACCCATGTGAAAGCCAGGTACCTCAGTATACCTCTATAAACCTAATGCCCAGTGGGCAGGGCCAAATGGAATGAGGTCATTCAGTCTAGCCAATCATTGAGCTCTGGGTCCAGTTAGAGACCCTGCCTCAGAAATAAGATAAGAGGAAGACACCCAGTGTTAGCATCTGGCCTCCACATGAACATACATGTGCATACTCACAGGGATTTTTTTTTTGGTCTTTTGAGACAGGGTTTCTCTGTGGCTTTGGAAGCTGTCCTGGAACTCGCTCTGTAGACCAGGCTGGTCTCAACCTTACAGAGATCTGCCTGCCTCTGCCTGGGATTAAAGGCATGCGCCACCACGTCCCGGCTTACTCACAGGAATTTTTAATCCCTTTTTTATTTTTTCGAGATAGGCTTTCTCTGTGTAGCCCTGGCTGTCCTGAAACTAGCTCTCTGGAGACAAAGCTGGTCTCCATCTCAGAGAGATCTGCCTGTCTCTGCCTCCTGAGTACTGGGATTAAAGGCATGTGCCACCAGTACTAGGCCCACAGACACATTTTTAAATCAGAATAAGTTGAAACTTTTTTAAAGGACAGGATAACAATGGGGAAAGACCTACCTGGATGTATGACTGTATTAATAAATACAGAAAGAATAGAATACAAGCCAGGCGTTGGTGGCACACGCCTTTAATCCCAGCACTTGGGAGGCAAAGGCAGGCGGATCTCTGTGAGTTCGAGGCCAGCTTGGTCTACAAGAGCTAGTTCTAGGACAGCCTCCCAAGCCACAGAGAAACCCTGTCTCGAAAAACCAAAAAAAAAAAAAAACCAAGAATAGAATACAAAAATCATTTTTAAAAACTTCATAGTAATGATTATTTCAACAAAAATAATAAGTAATGTTAAAGTAATCTTCCTACAAAACAAAGAAACTGGGACACAGGGATTCACAGCAGGTCCAGAACAAGTTCAGTGACATGGCACCCGAGTGTAAGTCTGTTAGGTTACTGCACACACTTAGTGCAGAAGGAAGTCGGGAGGGAAGTCTGGCCTCTGCACAGGCTGGTGGCTGGTGTCACACTCTGGGAGCTAGTTACAGCCTATAGAGACTTGTGAATAGGACTTCAGAAGAATGAGGTTAGAGCCACAGCCAAAGCTGGAATATGAAATGTAAACTACACTCATCAACATCGTCGTTCCTGCACCGTTCAGAAGCCCCATGGTGATCCGATGGAGCAGTTCCCCTATCAGGAGACTCATAATTATGCAAGGGAAAGATCATGGTATCTGCAACCTGCAGGTCATTTAGCAACAGGAGAAGGAATACTTGTAAATGTTGGTGAGGTATTAAAAGTTAATGGATTTAGGGGACTGGAGAGATGGCTCGGTGATTTCCAGCACTGAACATTGGTCGCTCTCACAGAGAATGCAGGTTTGGTTTCAGCACAGGCACAGTAGTTCACTACTATCTGTAGTTTCAGTTCTAGGGGATCTGGTGCCCTCTCTGATTTGAAAGCACTAGGCTCGTACATGGTGTATAGTCACACATGCAGACAATGCATCCATATGCATAAAATAAGTAAATTTTTAAGAATAGTGAGGTGCTGGGGTGGTAACTCAGTGGTTAAAAGCATACGATACTCTTCCAGAGGACCAGAGTTCAATTCTCAGCACCCACATGGCAGCTCACAACTGTCTGTAGCTCCGGGTCCAAGGGATCTGATGCCTTTAAACCAATACATGTTAAATAAACTTTTTAAAAGTTTGTTTTTAGAAGAATAGTGAATTTAGGCAAGTAACATAGTAGTATTACACTTTTCATATATATTTTATAGATGTTTGGTTTTTTTGTGTAGGTGTGATTGTATTCATGCCAGGGGGCACATGTGGAGATCACAGGCCAACTTGTGTTAGTCGGTTCTCTCCTTCCGCCACGCTGGTCCCATGACTTGAACCCATGTTCTTAGGCTTATGGCAGGGACCTTTCTCTGCTCAGCCATCTTGCCACCCCAAGGTTTTTTTTTATATTTATTTTTAATTTTTAGTTGTATTGGGGGGCATGCGCATATCATGGTATAGGGGGGAAGTCAAATAACAACTTGCAGGAGTCAGTTATTTTCTGTCCTGAGGGTCCTGGGGATTGAACTCAGGTCATCAGGCTTGGCAGCAAGCACCTTTACCTGCCGAGAAGTAACACCAGCATGGCCTTAAGTTCAAATGTTCGAGAGGGGCTGATCCAGCACATTTGATAGTCATAGCACGTACGTGCAGCTCAGGACCTGTTGGTGGTTTTGCTGTGTATACACTGAAGCAACTCACCAACCAGCTGGACTCGCATGTTCTGAGTTACTGCTTCTAAGGCGTTCCCAGTCTCTGACCCTCTGGCCCTCGCTCCTCTTATTGGGGGAAAATAAACACATAAGAACGTCTAATTGGTGCTTTCTGCTGAAAATCAGGTTTCCGAGCAGGAAATGGATGAAGTAATAGCACGCAGCACTTACCAGGACAGCAAAGAAGCCAACTCCTCGCCTGGCTTAGGTATGGCAATGGCACGTTCTCCATCACCACTGAGAAAAGGTCCTCTGAATTCACTCCCGGGCACTCCCCACGTGGTAGCATAGCATTCTCTGTGATTACTGGGGCTGTCGACCGGTTGCTGTCACCGTCTAGATTCCTCCTTGTGATTTCTGCGCTTTTTTAATGTGCTTCATTAAAGGCCTAATCATGCATGCTGCTTATAATTTGAAAAAATAAGTTAACAGACATCCATGAATCTCATTTGAAATACACGGGACAAGGAGGTGTGACACCAAACTATGAGTGATTAGGTAGCACAGAGTATTATCCATCTAAAAGCTGAGGTTTCTTTATATGGATTTTTTTTGTTTTTTTTGAGACAGGGTTTCTCTGTGTAGCTTTGGAGCCTATCCTGGCACTCACTCTGTAGATCAGGCTGTCCTCAAACTCACAGAGATCTGCCTGCCCCTGCCTCCCAAGTGCTGGGATTAAAGGCATGTTCCACCAACACCCAGCCTTTATATGGATTTAAAAGTTTCAATGCAAAATTCTCGAGTTTTTCTCCTTCTGTGGAAATTTTCAGGCAGGGAAGGAAGGACTGCAAGCCTCCTTGGCATTTCTTGCTAACTTAAAACACTATATCAAGTTTTAAGACAGTTTCCTCAGTGTGGAGACCTAGGAGGGACTCTACAGACATTGCTGGATTGGCTAGAGACTTCTCTGGCATTCAGACTGATACCCTGGAGGAAAAGGAACTCGGAGATATGAGTTACTGGATGTCAAAGGAAAAGGAACAGGATTTGGGACAGGCATGAAATCCCTGATGATTTGCATCCATAATTAATATATTTAAAGTGGACGAAGCCATAATAGGCTCTTTCTTCACCGTGAACGCTGGGTTCTCTTATCCCAACAGTTCCACTTGGTCAGTCAGCAAAGATCTATTTTTTTAAAGCCGGAATTTTCGTGCCCTAAATCTCTTTTGCCTGTGACATGTAATTTAAAGTCTACAGGCTGAGCGCTTCACCGTTCAGCTAAAAAGTAAGATCGACGTCCAACGACTTCCCTAGTTCTTTCAGGGGTTTCTTGGATGGGATCCATTGCTTCATTCATCCTTCTGGCCAAATGCCACCGAGAACTTAGCCGACACCAGGTGCGGTGTGCAGGCAGCACCACTGCTCAGTGGGCTGGTGAGCCACGGGAAAGGGAAGAGACAAAGATCACTCACATTAAACTGTCCTGTGTGCATGGACCCTGAAGTATAAGCCAGATGAGATACTCAGTGCTATCACGGAGGAGGAAGAACCATAGCCAGGGTCCTGCAGTGTGAGCAGAGTCTTTTGTGAGAGGAGGTGAGGAGGGAGAGGGTGGACAGGTACCCAGATAGACTAAATGCATGCATTTGCCTATGCATGTAACACATTAGTGACACTCGGGCAAAGGACAATTTTGTTGAATAAGCTTGGTGTCATTTCCCCCCCTCCACCATTCATTTTTGGTGAAATATGTGAGCCTGCTTGTGACTTGAGGTTAACGGTTTTGTAAATCCCTGAATCCCTCCCACACAGGTACTCCCTTGAAGAGTCCGTCTCTTGCCAAAAAGGTGAGTCAAAAAGCACTTGGAAACCACAAACCAATTTTTAGGGGCTTCTCAGTCAAGTCCTAGACCCCAGCACCTATTTCTGCAGATTAATCTTTTGTCCACTTTGTACAAGGAAATGGCCACCATACCAGTTTGAAAACCAACACCTAAAGATGTGTTCCTCTTAGTTGAGTATTCACCCAAGGAAAGAGCAGAGCAGAAAAGTAAAGTCACAAACCATTCAGACTGTTCCCTACATAATAAAGACAATCCCACTGGGTCAGGATTTACACTGGGCAACCCCCACCCCGACCCCACCGTTGGGTGTTTTGGCTGGGCCATATGACTTTAGTTTTTCTTTCTCCTTTCCTATGCCTTCTCGCACGGGTTTTGTTTTGGTTTTGCTAAGATGATTGATAAACTACTACTGTGGGAGCTCGAGAGATCCCTCAGTGGTAAAGACCACTGACTGCTCTACCAGAAGACCTGGGTTCAATCCCCTGGACCCACATGACAGCTCATGGCTATCTGCAACTCCAGTTCCTGGAAGTCAGGATCCTCACACAGACATGCAGGCACGCAAAATGCCAACTCACATTTTTTAAAAATAATTAAAAACTTGCTATTCTCTTTTTCTGATCATTGCTTCAAAAGGTCCCCCTCATATCTTGATGTACCGTACCGCCTGTTGCTTATCCACCCTACAGTAAATGGAGATGGGCAGTTACTATCGCTGCAGTTCCCAGGGATCAGGAATTAGAACATAGTGCCCCTGGAAATAATTGCTCTACTCGGCTCTGGTGTATCTCCCTAGACTCCAACCTGTTCTTTTTCCAACAGGACTCGCTCCTCTCTGAATCTGAGTTCTCCCAGTACTTTGTCCATGATGGGCGGGGCTCCTTGCCAGACTTCGTGGTTGCTGGCTCTGAGGACGAGGACCACCCCGGCAGTGGCTGTGGCACCTCGGAGGATGGCAGCCTGCTTCCCGGACCCTCTGGTGAGCAAGGAAGCTCTAGGGAACCTTGGACTCAACAGGGCAGGAAGCAGTTGCTAGTTCCCCCATCCCTGCTGGAGCCTTGCCCAGGACAGCAAGGAGAGAGAGCTGAGTAGAAGCTGTATCTACTCTCTGCAGAGGTGACCAACTGCTCAGGCAACAGTGAGTGGCTCGACACACATTCTAGTGCCAGTGGTGAAGGTGGCTCATCCAGGTCCCCGTCACGTGCTGTCTACCAGCATGTCGTCTTGAGTTTCGTGGCGTCAAATCAGAGTAAGCAACCAGAGGCGCTCACAATTGAGGGAACCCCAGGCAAATCCCAGATCTTTCCCTCCCTAGGCTCTAAACTTAATTCTTCTTAAAGAACAGGGAGTTACTGATATGAGACTGTGAGAGCCACTGTTAGCAAAAGGTCACTTCTACTCAAACGTCCTTGAGTCTCTGCGCAAATGAGGTCATCTAACTGTACTGAGCGCTCAGACTTCTGTCTAGGCTTCCCTTTCCATGTCTGGTGTATGAGCTCTGGAGAGGCAGACGTGGCAGCTGGGACTCGTGGGAGCTACTGTTGGGTGTGCGAATGGCAAGCCTGTGCTGTGCACTATAGTGTGGACATAGAGCATGCCAAAGATCTGCACGTGCACGCTGTGCCTCAAACACGCACTTGAGAAGCAGACAACTTGGGCTGTGTATCACGCCCTTTTGCTGCAGATAGGGAAGGGACCTCACATGTGAGAACATAAGAAGAGCATGTTACCCGTGTTACCTGGTGGAGAGTTCTCAGCATTTAGGCCAGACCCTCAACAACCTGGGAGACAAAATGAAGCTAAACTATAGATTCTCCATCGCTAAAAAGCACACCAATCAAGCTAAATAACCCAGAGTTGGTTTTTGATGTTCTTAAGGGTGAGGAGATGGATAAAAGATGGCCCGGTGGGTGTAAGGATGCCTCTGGATCCTAGAAGCCACATAAAGGCGGGAATCAGGAATCCCAGTGTGGAGAGGTGGTCAGCCAGCCTGCCATGCGCAATGACAAAAACCAAGGCACCCTGTCTCAAACCAGGTGGAGGGCGAGGACTGACACCCGAGGTTGTACACCAACCTCTGTCAATGTATAAACATGTGCCTACTTACCTAGGTTCACACTCACACACACACACACACACATCTTGAGTACAGATACGCATGTGTGTATATGTATCTGTATGTACATCTATGTGTATAAAAATGGGAGTGAAGACTAAAAGGAGAAGCAGTAGGCTGGCTGCCCTTCCTGTCTGGACCACAAGGAACTATGTTGTTTATGTGGATGTCCAGTGGCTGGAGGTTATACCTGGCATGTGAATTGAGAAGTGCTGATGTGCAGAGACAGCATTGTTTTATTTGTTTCAGTGACTAGACAAGGCAGGCTTCACTCATGATCAATAGGGTGTGCTTGGAAGAACAGACACTGAGACTTATTTCTTTAAGGTTATAACATCAGGCCAGATTGGAAACCTGTTTTTTGTTTGTTTGTTTGTTTTGTTTTGTTTTTTGACTGACTCTTCTGTCTCCTGCCATTGCAGCTCACAAGGAGCCAGGGAAAGCCAGGGCCAACAGCCTTGTGACTCTTGGAAGCCAGAGAACCGCTGGGCTCTTACACAAGCAGGTAACGGTCGCCAGGCAAGCCAGTCTCCCTGGAAGCCCACAGGTCCTCAGGAACCCCCTCCTCCGCCAGAGGAGAGTTCGCTGCTATGATGGCAATGACGCCAGCGATGAAGAAGACTTTGATGGTGAGGGGGACTGCATTTCACTCCCAGGAGTCCTCCCAGATCCCAGCAGGCCTCTGATAGAGGATGGCAGTAGGCCCGCCTTGACAGCCTCTTCCAAAAGCGTTGATGCAAGAAAGCAAGAGGAGCGACCCCAGAAACCACTGGTCAGCAAGGCCTGCTCCGTGCCTCTCCTTGGCAGCTCTCTGGACCTACAGCACAGTGTCCCTGATGGGATGGCGGGTACCCCTCCTAAGGCAGCCAGCCTGCCAGGCTCTGTAGAAACTCCCAAGAGTGGGCCTGCAGGCCCTGGAAGAAAGGAACTGTCAGGATCAAGAAGTTCACCGAAGCTGGAATACAGTGTCGCCACCCATAGCCCAAGGAGCCCAGAAAACCCCATTCCCCCACCACAGAAGAATGCAAATCTGGTGTCCAGACACAAGCCTGTGGCCAGGATCAGCCCACACCACAAGAGGTCTGACACTGAGGCCCCAAGTGGAACAGCCAATGGACCGTACGGCCAGGACTTGAAAGTCCAGGCTCCATCCATGAAAGATACCGTCACTGGCCATCAGCCAAGTGGAACCGCAGAGAAGGTAACTGACTCACTTTTGTGTGAAGGTTGACTACGTATGAATGACTACAGAGTGCTTTGTAAGGCGACGGGTAAGTTGGATGAAAGGGGGATGGTGACGGCAGGATTATCTTTCAACGGTGCCCATTACTATGGTGGCAGGCTGTTAGTCATGAGACCACTCAGCCAAAGAGATGTAGGCACTCCCTTACAGGGCACGGGGCCAGCAGTGACGATGGGAAGGCATTGTGGGAAGGGAGTAAAGCCCTGGGCCTGGGGCCAGCTTCACTGACTAGTTGGCACAAGTTGCGTAATGACATGAGCAAGTCATTGAACCTTCCTGGGCTGGGCTATGAGGCAGGAGGTTGCTTTCTGCCTTGGTTGGTTGATGGGCGTGACCAGCAAATGTCAACTGTCCAGGTGATGTAGTCATGAGGAACCCTTGATTCCTTTTAAGATCCTTACAAGAGACTGTGTGTGATTAGAGCTACATAGACCTTTCATATCATATGAAGCAGGCGTGATAGAGCATGCCTGTAACCCAACCCTCAGGACGGAGACAGGTGGTTTGATGAGTTTGAGGCTAGCTCCCTACATACCTTAGGCCCTGTCTCAAAAAACAGAAACTAAGAAACTGTCATACAAAATAGCAGGGCTCTGTCCTTTCCAAACTTACAATCCATCACATTAGACACAAATTAGAATAACTAATTATTCGTATGTTTGTTATTCTCTGATTGTTCACTTAATTTTTTTGTTATTTCTCTTCCCCAGCAAAAGACGATAAGGAAATTGTTCAGTCTCTGAGCAAAGAGTCTGAAATGATTTTAAAGCCTTATTAATGAAGATAGTGTCTTATGATTTAGAGTAGTTGAATAAATGGACCTAGAAAATAAGAAGTCATAAAATCTGTGAGGTAGAAGTCTTTTTTTTTTCTTATGCATTCACATTTTCCCCTCTCCTCAAAAATTTTAATTGCTAGGCTGGAGAGATGGTTCAGTTCTTTCAGAGGTCCTGAGTTCAATTCCCAGCTACCACAGGTGGCTCACAACCATCTATAATAGGATCTGGTGCCCTCTTCTGCGTGCAGACATACATGCAGCGCACCCATATAGTAAGATAAATAAATAATTCTTTGAGGTTGCATTTACCTCCACGCAGTACATGTTTTTTGATACATGCCATTAGTGCATATTCTTTTCTTTTAGAAAATACAGTCTGGGCAGGAGACATAGCTCAGCGGCACAGTGCTAGCCCTGTACATATGCACATACACAGTCCTGGGTTCCATCGTATCCCTCCTCACAGGGGCTCCCCATCAAGTTTTAGACAACCATAGAAGGCCAGACCAGGATTTTTACTCACAAGTATGCATATTTATTAAGAATGGCTCTTGCTAAATACAGTGTCGCATATCTGTCATGCTAGCAGTTCTGATTAGACAGGGCTACAAATGAGATCCTTGGTTAACGCAAACATAGATATATACTGAGGTGGAGTGGATTTTTCATAGTATTTAATGTGTGCATAGTCTGTCTCTGTCTGTCTGTCTCTCTCACACTCTCCCTCTTGCTCTCATTCAATCGCACATGCGCCATGCTGCCATTGTAGCAGTCAGAGGCCAACTTGAAGGGCTCGGGTGTCTCTCTCTCCCTCCCTCCCTCCCTCCCTCCCTCCCTCCCTCCCTCCCTCTCTCTCTCTCTCTCTCTCTCTCTCTCTCTCTCTCTCTCTCTCTCTCTCTCTCTCTCTCTCTCTCTAGTCCCTGGGGATCAAATGGAGGCTATCACGCTTGGAGGCGAGTGCTTTTACCCACTGAGCCAGCCCAGCCTAAGATTTTTATAAGTCTGAAATATTTACAGTAAGAACCTTTGAGTGGCTGGAGAGATGGCTTGGTGGTCATGAACACCAGGTACTCCTCCAGAGGACCCAGGTTCAGTTCCCAGGACCTGCATATTTACTCACAACCTTCTGTAACTTCAGTCCCAGGAGATCCAATGCCCTCTGCTAGCTTCCAAGGGCATGAGGTGTACAGACATACATTCTGGCAAACACTCATACACATAAAATAAAAATAAGTCTTTACAATGGGCAGGGAAGAGGTGGCGGTGGTGGCATCCACCTTTAATGCCAGCACCCAGTAGGGAGAGGCAGGTGGAACTCTTGAGTGCAAAGCTAGCCTGGTCTACAGAGCAAGTTCCAGGACATCCAGGACTACACAGAGAAACCCTGTCTCAAAAAGACAAAAAGAAACAAATAAATTTTTAAATGGGGGGTTGAGCAATATTTTTATGTAAAATGTTTTTCTTGTAAAAATTTTGGTTCTAAAATTTGGTTTTAATAAAAAAAAAATAAGAAGAAAGTAGAATGCCTCTCACTGTAAGACATCCTCAAATATGAGAAGCCAGTATCTTCTAGTGTTTTCTGTTGTTTCTGTTCAGCACCTTTTAAAATTTTGTGATGTGGTGGTTATTGGTGTGTATGGTTGTGGTGTGTATGTGTGTGTGTGTATGTGTGTATACGTGTGTATGTGTGGTGTGATGTGTATGTGTGTGTACGTGTATGTATATGTGTGTACGTGTATGTATGTGTGTGTGTACGTGTGTGTATGTGTGTGTACGTGTGTAGGTACTCACTCCCACAGGCATATACACAGGTCAGGGAAGGTATCACCTCCCCCCTCCATCTCTTCCTGTCTTACTCCCTTGAGACAGAGTCCTTCACTAGAGCATGCTGATTTTTAGCTAAGGTGGCAAACTAGTGAGTGCCAGTGACCCCCGCCCCCCACCCCAATGCTGGGGCTACAGGCATCAACCCCTTACTTTCACGTGGATGCTGGGATCTGAACTTGGGCCCTGTGTGCACAGCAAGCACTCTTACTGGGCCTTCTCCCAGTCCTCGTTAGAAGTTTGTATTAAGGTAAAATTCGTATGTAACAGAAAACTGTTTTAAAATATGCAGTTGAGGGGCACGCCCACCCCCACTTCTGTCTGGCTCCCACTCTTCTGTTTCTTTTATGTTTCATTTCTTTCTTATCAGTAAATAATGCACATACACACACATACACACACACACACACACACACATACCTGTCGGCCACTTTATGATGCATCAACTCAGTGAATATAATTGGGCTTTTTAGTGAGTTTTAAATTTGTTTCTGTGCTCAGTATTCCATAGACGAAAGGAAGATAAAGTAATTGACACTTGGCCTGAGGGAAATCTAGAAATATCACATCCCAGCTTCATTTCTCCCTCACTATCAAACTTAGGAATTGATTCTACAGTCTTGGCTATCCTTAAGAAATGTTGGAAGGTACCTCCCACCTTATAAATCTTACCTGCTGCTCTTATAGCTGTTCTCATTTATCCGTCTTTTCTTTAAAACTTTTGAGATTTGGCAAGTCTTTTTATCCCTCTTTGAAAGCTGCGAGCCCATAGGCTTTAGGGATGAGAATCCAGGGCCTGGGTCTAGCAGCTCCAGCCCAATTTTTGATGATGCTGACTTAGGCACTCCTCCCAGACTGATTCTCCTCTACTGTCTTAGGATGCAGAAACCCTGAAAAGCTATTAACGTGGCTTCTGCTTCTCATTGTGCCAGGAACTTTGGGGAAATCCCACCCCGGGGGACAGATATGTCCCCACCAACTGTGGACCAGCCAGTACCCCATGCCACCCAAACACTGGACCCCCCACAGAGAGCCTGCAGGGAGCTGCGCCAGAGTGCGGGCCACACCCTGAGACTGGTAAGACTGTTACTGTTGGTTCCATTGAGGGACAGGAAACACACATCCTGAGAAAGTATTGCAAGAAGATAACTTTGAGGAGGGAAGAAAAACCACTGAGGGAAATCAGTATTTAGATGGTGACTTCATGAAATCGCTGCCCCTGATCACTGTGCTTAGCTCCCCCCACCCCCCAAAAAATGTGCATTCCCCCTTAAATGCATCCAAGTTTGGTCTCATTTTGTGACATAGATGAGACATAAGAAATGCGACCCCCTCCCCCCAAGAACCTCCATAGTCTGCTTGTATGAAATCAAGTGCACTGAGAAATGGCAGTAGAAACCTCCACAAGGAAAAGTAAAAAGTAAATAAATAATAATGTAGGGAAAACTACCTAAGCTTGACGAGAGACGGACTGACGGCACGGAAGCAGAAATCACGGCCACCTACGTCTTGATGTTTTTTTTAATTCAGTCAAGCTGAATTGAGTGACTTCTTGCTTTCTCTGTGGAAGAGGAAACTTGTCTTAGTGGCTGGTAATTACTGTAATGGCCTGATAGCCACTGAAGTGTTGGTGGTAATAGAAAAATTAGATAGCTCCCTTGTCAATCAGGGTAATCTCATAACATTTTTATTATGTTTATTTATTTGTTTTGTATTTGTGTGTGTGTAGATGTGTATGCGCGCATGCGTGTAGATATGTGTGTGTGTGGGTGCGCATGCACACGCCAACGTCTCAGGACAATTTCCCATAGTCAGTTCTCTCCTGGGAATTTAACTCAGGTCTGAAGACTGACAGCAGGTGCCTTCACCGACTGAGCCGTCTCACCAGCTCAAGGATGTCCTACAAATTTAAAGTTTGGAACTGTAGAATATCTCTTTTTATTGCCTCCACTGACCTGGAACTTGTATGCGTCCTGCCTCAGCTAGTCCTGGGTACATGACCCACAGGCACACGCCACCACACCTATCTTCTGCCCACACCGTTGACTACTCACATACAGAAGGCAGACCCCGGAAGCACTCAGTAGCTCCTCCTTCCTCCATCAGTGACGAGTCCGTCACCATGGTTTCTGCTCCATCTTTCAGGTTCAGTTCACAATCACCCACTGGTGACTAAATGTTAAAAGGGCAATTTTCATTAGCAATTTGACGTTACTGCTAAGCCCATTAGCTTAAATGGGGCTCCATTTGCAGCAGATGAAGTTGCATGGAGGCAGTTCAGGAAGTCACCTTTCAAAACAGCCTTCGCTTGAGACCAGTGTCCACGTGCTTGCTAAGGGCGCACGTTCTGTAGCACAATTGTCCGGCCGTTCTCCTGGGATCCTCCATTGCCCTCCGAATCAAAGAGGCAAAAGAGTGCTTTCTTTCATCACCAAAACCAATCTCCTCTTAATTTGAAACAATGTAGAAAATCTATTCACTCAAGGAATTATTCTAGACAGTCTAATTTTGCTAGTCCTGAGGGTTTGTGCCTTGAGGAGGTGTTTATACAGGCAAGCTCTTTGGGGCAGAGAGGCATTTAGTCTCCCAGCCCAGAGCCAAAGACAAGACATTTGTTCCGTGTCCCCTGGTGCTTTCCCACCTGTTCAACTGTCTGTGCGTCTAGGCCTCTACAGGTGTCGTCTGTCCTCTCTGGACTTCCCACCAGTAATAAGCCTTAAGGAAAGAAGCAAACAGTAAATACAAGTGCCAGGAACTGGTAACGTTTAATATGTAACAATACATGCGCTATATTAACATATAAATCACTGGAAACATACTGTGCTGGTTGTCATTGAGTTCTCACATATAAGGAGCCTGAGAGGGTTGAGGCGATAATGCTCTGGCGCCCCCTAGGGCTTTGGAGGGATCCCTGAAGTGTTTGACCCACATCAAATTACCTGATTCCTACAATTTTTAGCGCTTCTGTCCATTTTTCTGTGGTGTTTCCATTCTCTCTCTCAGTCCAAGGGGCCAGCAGAGGCCTTGACTATTGAGCATGATCCTTTTTCTTTCTAATTTTATCATAAATAGCTTAGCTGCTTCCAATGTACAGGAAAGATATCTTCAAAATCTAATTTTTTTAAAGGGGAAAAAAATCCCAAAACACATACCTGATAAAAGAAGGAACTCTTTACCTTAAGAAAGAAAGAAAAAAAAACCTGTGGGGCTGAAGAGATGTCTCAGTGGTTAAGTGCACTGGCTGCTCTTCCAGAGGACCTGAGGATCTGAGTTCAATTCCCAGCAACCACATGGCGGCTCACAACCATCTAAAATAGGATCTGATGCCCTCTTCCATCTGATGCCTTCTTCTGACATTCAGACATACATGCAGAGCACTCATACATAAAATATAAATAAATAATTTTTTTAAAAGGCACATGGCACTACACTCAACCATTTTAAAAACAAAATGTGTTTTTGGGCCCATGAGATGGCTCAGCAGGTAACGATGCATGCTGTCGAGCCTGCAGACTTGAATTCCATCCCCAGGACCCATGGAGTGGGAGAGGACTCCTACAGGTTGTCTGACCTCCACGTCCGTGCCGTGGCACCATGTGGGCTCATGGTGCCATGGCACAGACGTACGTATACATGTATACGCATAACAAGTAAGTTTTTAAAGCCCTCCTCCTTAGAACATGTCTAAAAATGATGCAAAGCAAGAAGCACATGGACATCACACACAGGCCAGGGCCAGGTCCAAGCTCTGATAGAAGCAGTAGCTCCTAGCAAGTCACACAGATCCTCAGTTGCCTGCCTCATGGGCTGGATTCTGAGGCATCTGTGGGTTTCTCAGTGTATACTGTTCAAAGCACTGTGCATGAAACAGTGTGCACCGTGTGTGTGAGCACATGTGATTTTCCTAAGAAGAATCACATATGTATGTATATACTTAGCATGTAAGAGGCATTTGGTAAGGTATGTAGAGACACAGTTTTCCTGAGATGGCTTTCAGAAAGGAAGAAAGATTGGTTTGTCGTTGTATGCAGGTACGTGCCCCCCCCCCCCCCCGACTATAGCTACACACTGGCCATGAGGGCTGACCTACAGCCCAGGCAGCCATGGCTGGTTCTCTTAGTTGGCCACTCTTAAAACCAGGAGCAGAGGCAAAAACCCCCAAGCACTCACCAGACCTGCTGTGAGAAAAGCCCGGAAGAGGTGTGGGGAGTACAGACACTACGTCTGTTGCTAGCTTGCAATGAAATGCAGGGGTCTTTATTACAAAGATTAGGAAGTTTTTGACCTACCTGAGAAGGAAATTTTAACACTGCCAGAGCCCCCAGAGGGAATCTCCGTTGCTACTCTGTGTGTCCTGCTGGCCCTGCTGTATGTACAACAGGTAAAGTGTCACCTGTAGTCTTGGCCTTGTCTTTCCTCGGCATGCTACCTAACACACTTCTCAGCCTCAGACGCCCACAGAAGGCAATGTTCAGCAGCTCCCATAGCAACAGTGCTCCTGCACGACAGGTGTAGCATGCAGGTCGTGCTGAGCCCTGGTGACTCAGTTATACTGTAGCCTGCTCTGGGATGAAGCTGCATCCGCATCCCAGAAGCCTTTCTTCCTGGGGGTGCGCCCGCTAGGGGACATTTGGTGGGGGTTCCAACTGAAGCATTATTTTGAAAGGCAGTGCAAGGGTTGCCTCCAGATGAGTTCATCTCCCTCAAATGAAACCGTCTGAGGGACTGGGGACGTGGCCCCATTGGTGGAATACTTTCATGAATGTATGAAGTCCTGGGTTGCATTCGCAACATCCCATAAATTGGTTGTGGTGACTTACACTTTGGTAATTTGAGCACTTGAGAGGAGAATCAGGAACTCAAGGTCATCCTCTGATATACAGTGAGTTCAAGGTTAGCCTGGGATACATGAGAACCTGTCTCAAAATTAACAGGCCTCTGAAAATACACAATTTGCAGTACCTCAGCTCACCAACAAAAACTGAACAAAAATTTGCCTGTTAGTGAATTTTTAGTAAGCGAATCTGAAACTCTTCAACGGCCTTTGATAGCCAGAGAACATGGCTTATGGGTTAGATCCCTGAGCCCACATAGTGAAAAGAGAGAGCATACCCTACAAGTTGTCCCCTACCAACAAACATACACACACACACACACACACACATACACACACACACACACACACACACACACACACACACAGAGGCTAGGCTACCTTGGTACTACCAACCTTTAATCTCAGCGCTCAGGAGACCAAAACAGATGGATCTCCTTGAGTGTGAGGCCAGCTGGCTAGCCATGGCCTCATAGTGAAAGCGTGTCTTAAAGAAAAGCGAGACTTGGGGATAGAGTTCGGTGGTAGAGTGCTTGCTTGGCGCATTCAGGCCCCGAGGTTCCAATGCTCGTACCACCAAAAAGAGGAAGAAACATAGTTAAAATCCTAGTATTCGTATGCAGCAGAATTGGTCGGTAAAGTGCTTTCCTAGCATGTACAAGGCCCCAGGTTTGATCCCCAGTTCCACATAAACTGGGCACAGTGGTGCAGACCTGCAATCTCAGCCTTTTAAAGGGACGAGAAACAAGACCAGAAGTTCAAGGCTGTCCATGGATACATAGCAAGTTCAAGGCCAACTGAACCTGACTTTGTCTCAAAAATAAACAAAAACTGATAGCTGGCTGGCTGTTGGGGACACATACCTTTAACTGTAGCACTATGGAGGCAGAGACAGGTGGATCTCTGAGTTCCAGGAGAGCCAGGGCTACACAGACAAACGCTGTCTGAAATAAAAACCAACCAATTGATTTCATAGGAAAGATGTGAGAGGAACTTAACATTTGGGGTAACACTTCTCAAACCAAGACTTCTCAGATCTGAGCCTGTTCTGTCACTGCAAGATGATACATGTCAAAGTGAGATTAGCCTGAGAGAGCGCACACGGCAAGGCTTTCTGAGGGGACAGAGCCGCTCTGCCCGTCCCTGTACCTCAGAGCTTCTGCTCTCAACTCTTCTCCTCCCAACGTGGACCAAACCTAAGCTACTCCCACTGTTGCGGTTCCCAGGAATGACTGGCTTCCAGGTCTCCTGCTTCTCCGAGCCATGTCAGAGGCAGAGCTAGAGCCCCTGTCAATGGAGAACCCCACCTGGAGCATTCTGTCATTCCCCTTAACTCTGTCTGCTGTGCTGAAAAGCAAGCCCTTTGGCTAAGTGTGAAGGCACGGGCCTGTCATGGAGGCAGAGTCATGAGGGTCAAAGGTGAGAAGTCAACCAGGGCTCCACAGAGAGACCATCTCAGACAGCAAATAGAAAAAGTAAGCTTCTTGAGTTTGGAGGTTTGACTGTTGGTGCGTCTGAGACTAAAGTCACTCATGATTGGACGGGTGTGAGGATGGGACGAGACATGAAGCCTCTGCCCAGTCTAGGCCAAAGCTAAGGAATAAGACATCTCTGTATCCCAAGCTTCTGCTGCCAGAGGTGCTTGGGTCACGAAATCCAAGCAAGGGATTTCTGATGTTTCCTGTCTGGAAGCAAACAGAGAGAGAAATGGGCAAGTTTAAATGTCCATCCCGTCTGTGTGTCTGTTATTTTAAGGCCATTAAAGCAGGTTGTTAGCTGTGATCACTCTGCAGTTTGAGAGACAAAACCAGAAAGACGAGGTCTATATGTAGGCATGGAATGTCTGAGAAACAATACTGAGATTATTTATACCTGTTTAGACCTCTAGAGAGTTTTGTTTGCTTATACTTTCCCTTTCTTCTCCCATATCGCCCTATACAGAATGGGATGGCTCCTCAGCACCCCCTTCCCCAGGGAAGAGCAGGGAAGCTCATCATGACTCCAGCGAGACCTCCACCATCACAGAGCAAGTCGGTCAGTATGTGTCTCCCAGGACCACAGAGCCTGAGTCCCAGGGCATATCTAAAGTGAAACCAGCGAACAGGCGGAGCCCGTCTCCCAGGGAGAAGGCCTTGGCTCCTCCTGACTTTAGAACAACTTGGGCTGCACTTGGGGACAGCTCTCCCGACACCAGGAGAGCAGCTGTCCCCATGAGCACAGGAGCAACACCAGCCACTGCCATCCCTCATGTCTCCCTTGTGTCCCAAGAAAGGAGTCCAGGGCCCAGCAAGGCCTTGGAAATGACAGGACTCATTATACCTAAAAGCTGGAAGGATGGTGCTCCGCTTGAAGATACAGCTTCTGTGTCTGGGAAGACATCACCTGCCAGCCCCTCTCTGCCAGTGGCTACTGACAGCACAGCGTCAGGGAGCAGAGAGAGCCCTGTGACAGACACTGACAACTTCATCAGGGAGGCCTCTGAGGCGAGGTCACAGTCCTCCCAGAAAGCCGACTGTGGGGCTGACCCGGGCATTTTTGAGGGCCAGCCACCAGGAGGAGCCAGGGATGACAGTTCCCACCATGCCCAATCAGTCAGGAGTGACCAGACGTCCTCCCCAAGGAAGACTGGGGACACGGGCCTACCCCCGCCCCCACAGTGGGCCTCCCAGCCTTCCGTTTTGGATTCCATCCATCCTGACAAACATTTTGCTGCGAACAAGAACTTTTTGAACAACTACTCTAGAAATTTTAGTAATTTCCATGAAGACAGTATCTCCCTCTCGGGCCCGGGCGACAGTACAGAGCCATCGCTCTCATCCATGTACGGTGATGCAGAAGACTCGTCTTCGGACCCTGAGTCTCTCGCTGAAGCCCCACAGGCAGCCGCCAGGAACAGCTGGTCACCTCCCCATTCCCATGGGTCCCCTCATCAGGAAGGTACCAGTGAGTCTGAGGATGAAAACATAGAAATTTGCTCCACGAGCGACTGCCCTGAGGCCCTGGTGACAGCCCATCCCCCTGCCCAGGCTGCACTCTGCCGAGTTCTACCCCTACAGCCCAGTACCCTGAGCGAGCCCGTGGGGGACTCCCGTGAAAGGACCTGCCTCCTGCCAGGGACCTCACACACTGCCATCCCAAGCTCTTCGCAGCCATTTTCCTTCCTGGATGTAAGCTCTCGAGAGCACGAGCCATGGGTGAGCATAAACGCTTCACAGAGCCAGGGGCCGTCGTGCACAGAAGAAATCATGGCCACCACCGGCGTGAACTCAGTCATGGCAGGCAGCCAGCCTTCGGAAATGACCGGCCATGGTGACGACCTGCCATTTGCGCTTAGGAACCCAAGTGTGGTAAATGGCTTGGAGTGTGACCTGACGGCTGAGGGAGCCCCAAACAAAGAAGCAGGGGCTGCTAGTATGGCCCACGGTGTGCACGCCCTGAGTGCCGAGGGCCCTAAGAATGGAGAGGCCGTTTTGGCAAACCTACACGTTGCCAAGAGTCGCAATCTGGACGACTTGCTACAGAAACCAAAATCGATCTCCAGGAGGCCCATCATGGCCTGGTTTAAGGAAATAAATAGAAATGGCCAGGGCACACATTTGCAGAGCAAATCGGAGAAGGACCGGTCCTCGACACTGGCTATAAGTCCTGGCTACAAAGCCCAGATGGTAAGCACCAGCCCCAGCAAGGGCGTGGCTGTGCTTAAGAGTCCTCCCCCACTGCACAGGAGTCAGGAGAATAAAGACCTGCCCGAGAAAAGCCCAGTGGAAACCCTAAGTAACTGTCAGAAAGCCAAGTGCGGCCCTAAGCTCGGGAGACTGGGTGTCAAAAGCAAAGCTGGGTCCGAGATGCCTGTGGCCAGTGGGACCCATCACAGGAAGACCTTGATTTCACCCCAGGCCTCCCATAAAATGTTTTCCAAGGCAGTGTCACACCGGCTCCACATAGCTGGCCAAGAAGAGCCTACCAACACTCTTGTGGACACCCCCAAGCCTCCCCAGTGCATGCCCGAGGGCAAGCCACCTCTGGCTGCCTCTGGGTCACCCAGGACCTCCGCATCAGACACAAGCATCAGACCCTTCACTTTACCCCTGACCTCCCCCAAGACTGTCCCTGAGCAAAGTGCAAACAGCAGGCTCCAAATGGCTGTCCACTCGGAATCTGACACAAGTTGTCCAACCACCTCCAGGGCCCCTAGGTATGGAGCAGAGGGCAAGGTGCCCCATGGTGACTCTGGGTCAGCGAGTCCCACAACCCCACGGAGCAGCCTGGCCTTGGCAGGGATCAGACAGGGCAGGCACCTCACACCCAGCCGACTGGACTCGGTGGTGTCAGAAGCAGCCCATCCCAGGGGGATCGGTGAGAAAGGAAGTGAAAAAATCACTAGTGATCTTCTAGAAAGGACAACCCAGCTGAAGATAGTTGATATTTCTCCTGAAAGAATGCCAAAGAATGCGGGTGGTGACAAGCCACCAGATGGTGGCAGACAGGGAGGGTTCTTGGCCCAGAGCGGCTGTCAGGAAAAGAGTGGAATCGGTCTCTGGCAGTCAGGAGGGTCAGTCCCAAAGTCCCCACCCTCACCTCCCTCTCTGGCCTCCCAGGGACAGCAGGAAATTCGCCGGTCCTTCGGGATAGCCAAGCCAGCCTCCTCCCCAAAGCTACCTGCTAAAACACTGGATTCCTCCCAGGGCAGGTCAAGCCAGATGTCAGCTTCCCTAGGGATGCCCAAGAATGATGTACCCACAGGCCCTGGGGGAGAGGAGCAGCCCTACTTCACACCGAGGCCAGCCACCAGGACTTACTCCATGCCAGCCCAGTTCTCAAGCCACTTTGGACGAGAAGGTCCTTCCCCACACAGCCCGAGTTGCTCGCCTCAGGACCCTCAGGTCCCCGTGATGAGCGTCAGTGTCTCTGAGGCAAAGGCTGCCAGAGGTGTGACTAATGGACAGGATGTGTACAGTGTGAAGCCTCTGCTGGAAACATCAAGGAACCTGCCACCCACAGATGGGGGGGACGCCAGTGCAGTCCCTGAGACGAGCTGCCTCGTCGCGGACAAAGTCAAAGCCACCAGGAGACATTATTACTATGAGCACAATTGGCCCCATGAATCTACCTCGTTTTTCTCTGTGAAGCAGAGAATCAAGTCTTTTGAGAACTTGGCCAATTCTGACCGGCCTGCGGCCAAGTCTACCACGTCCCCATTCTTATCTGTGAACTCCAAGCCTCCCATTAGCAGACGGTCATCTGGCAGCACCACTTCAGGGAGGCACAGCCACCCCAGCGATGTGACAGCACGGTCACTGAGACGGAGCTTGAGTTCCTGCAGTGAAAGCCAGAGCGAAGCCAGCAGCCTTCTCCCGCAGATGACGAAGTCCCCGTCCAGCATGACGCTGGTTGTCTCTAGGCAGAACCCACCGGAGACTAGTAACAAGAGCCCCAGTTCAGACCCAAAGAAATCACTCGTCCCTGTAGGAATTCCCACCTCTACGGTGACCCCAGCCTCACCCACGAAGAGGAACAAGTCCTCAGTACGCCACGCCCAGCCTTCCCCTGTGTCCCGATCCAAGCTCCATGAGCTGAGAGCCTTGAGCATGCCAGACCTGGACAAGCTGTGCGGTGGGGAGGACTCTGCCGGCCCAGGCTCTGTGCTCTTCAGAACCCAGCTGGAAATCATCCCCAGACGGTCACTCGGCTCCCCCGCTACCTCTCCAGCTGGTTCCCCAGCTAGAGGCCATCCAGGCCTTGACGGATCGGCCTCTCTTTCATGTCCTATGAATGGGAGGACCAGAGTCTACCCAGGAGGAGACAGCCCTTCAGCCAGCGAGCCTGCAGCATCCCCTGGAGCCGGGGAAGGGGAAGAGGTCGTGCAGGCCCTGCCTTCTGCAAGGAGCTGGTCGGTGAAGTGAGTATCCACCGCTCCTCTTCTTAGACTGGCCTGCCTACATTGGGAAACCTTCTAGGGATATAAAAAGGTAGCAAAGGTAATAAGGGGAGTCCCCATGCTACCTCTCCCCAATTCTTCCTAATCAACATCTTACCCAACCCTAGCCCATTAGTAAGGACTTAACCCTGAACAACCAGCCATAAGAACAAAGCCACAGAGACTCGGCCGAATCAATTACACCAATGTTCTTTTCTATCCCAGGATCCAATCTAGACCACATTGCATTTTCTTTTTTCTTTTTCTTGTTGTTTTTCGAAATGGAGTGTCTCTGTGTTACAGCTCTGGCTGTCCTGATTCGCTCTGTAGACCAGCTTGGCCTCAAGCTCACAGAACTCCGCCTGCCTCTGCCTCCTGAGTGCTGAGATTAAAGGTGTGTGCCACCACCAGCCAGCCACGTTACATTTCCAGTATCCGTCCTGGAAGCATAAAAAGCCCCGGAAGTCGCATAAGCTGCCGTGTGTGGCTCTTGAGTAACAAGCGAGGGAGGGGGGAAGAGCAGGCTGTGCCGCAGGGAATTCTGGGCCTCTAGATTAAGTGGGAAACTCTGAAAATTTTTAAATGTTTCACTAGGGCCTCTGATTTCTAAACAAGTCAGAAACTGTCTGCTAACCTCCTGCCCTGGTCCCTTAATATCCTAGAGGGATCCCCAAAGTCACTTCCCACAGTCAGTGAAGCATATTCATGCTGGCCGTATAGGAGTCTATGGTTACTCTGGAGTGGGAGTTAAGCCCAGCAGGGAGCTAGAAGGTCAAAAAACAAAACAAAACAAAACAAAAGAAAAAACACCCACAACATGGCAGGAAGACTTTCCAGATTGGTTCTTAGGAAATGGAGAGGTTGTCTTTTAACTTCAAATGTATTTTTCACTTAGTTTGAATCAACTCCTTGCCTCAGTGAGGGACCAGCAGAAATTACAAGCCGTTTTGTCACTAGTGGGGTCAGAATCTACCATCTTCACTCTCATTCAGGAAGCGAAGGCACAGTCACAGGTGAGTGGGTACACAAAACCAGGGATGAAGCAGCAGGGCTGCATCGCTGGCGCCCCGGGTGCAGGCGCCGGGCTCAAGTCTGTTGCCCCTGGACTGCCACCGGCTCCAGGAACTGAACCTTGCTGTGACGGAAATGCCAAGTCCCCTGCAGCAGGTGTCACCAGCTTCTCTACCCCTTGAAGGAGTCTGTAGAGGAAATGTTGAATGACCCTGTAGCGCAGTCCTTTTCAGTGTGGTCATAAACGAGTAAGGGGAGCCACCTGCTGGTAAAATGCTCACACTGTTATAGCCCCACATGTGCCCTGAAGTTCATTGAGTTGCTAAACCCCAATCTACAGGACAAAGATACAGCATTTAAATGAACCGTGCGTGACAGTGAACAGTAACAAAAAAGAGGCACCCAGAACACTTCTTGGGGTAGTAAGAAATTAAACCTCAACAGATTGTAGAGAAAAAAGGCAAATAGGAATGACTGATAACACCCTGGGTTACTAATGACATCTGCAAACATTATTCAAGCAGTTACCTGCCCTGCCACCTGGTACCATCTGGGGTTTCTCAGCTAAGGTTCAGCCTTGCCATCTAATGGGCCAGGATGTCGAGGAGATGGGGTGAGGGAAGGGAGGAGGGGTAACTGGAAACAAAAACTTGTTCCTATTCCATTCAGATTCTCAACCTACTGGCTCAGGTAAGTACAGCTGGGACCCTTAGTGGAGTCGACTGCTTTCCCTTTGAATAAAAAGGACTATTCATCAGCTGGCTACCACACACTCATGCTTTGGAGGAAGTGCGCAGTTTTCGTTCTTGCCAGGCTTTCTTTGCTTGAAAGGTGTTGTAACAGATGTACAAGGACACAAGAAAGCCTCAACCGGACACAGACATAAGATGCATCCTCAGACGGCAGAAGCAAAGCGATGACTTTGGTGCAGACCAAATACCAGGCCCTGCTGCTGTTCCTGCTGGCATCAGAATGTGGTTGTCTTTCCCTGTCTGTCTTCAGCTGATTTCAGAAGGGAGCAAGTGCAGAGCCAACCTTACCCCGCTGTCTGTCTGCCTTTCCCACGGAGAGTATGGTGTGCAGGTGCTAAAACCAGAACCCTCCCAACTTACTTAAACCGGCCTGCTTCCACTGGGAAAACCTTTAGGGGTATAAAAAAAAAGTTGCAAAGGTAATAAGGGGAATCCCCAGGCTACCTCTCCCCCACTTCTTCCTAATCAACACCTTACCCAACCCTAGTCCACTAGTGAGAAGTAAGGACTTAACCCTGAACAGCCAACCATATGCACAAAGCCACAGATTATGGCCTTCTGGTCTATCATGAAAGATGAGAGATGCCAAAACCCGCCCTGCCTTTCTGGTTACCTCACACCCACGCTTTGCAGGGAGTGCACTATTTTCTGGTTACCCACGCTTTGCAGGGAGTGCACTATTTACCTGGCTTCCCAATGCTGTTCCAGGTTTCTCAGGCAAAATCTACCCTGACCATCAGCCGCTCCTATACCTGTTTCCCCAAATACACCTGCAAATGTTAATTCAGATAAATGAAACTTTGGATGACAGCATGCCCGTTGTAAAACACACTGTCCCTGAACAGACAGTGAAGTATGTTCATATCCCAGCATCACGCTGCCTTCCAGAAACTGCAGAGAGCATTCGCTAAGCCACGTGCATCTGTGTTTGCTTAGAAAGCCGACGGTCCAGGGTCGCCTTTCTTTCTGTCCACTGGTCCGGGTGGTGGAAGTCTTCATGACTTACCAACTGGTCCATCAGATTTCCACAATGGTTTTCTGCTCCCTTTTTGCCTCCTCCTCAAAGGTTGTCCGCTTTCTCTTGTATTGGTGTGTTTGAGAACATGTTGAAGTCCTTGATGATAACTTCATGAAAAACCAGTGTAGAGCTTTAAAATGTTAATGAACCATGTCTAAAATGGGATGAAGCCGAAGATATCTTTTGACTGATGTTTGAGGCAAGACAGTCTTTTTTTTTTTTTTTTTTTGAGACAGGGTTTCTCTGTATTGTTTTGGAACCTGTCCTGGAACTTGCTCTGTAGACCAGGCTGGTCTAGAACTCACAGAGATCCACCTGCCTCTGCCTCCCGAGTGCTGGGATTAAAGCCATGCACCATCAATGCCTGGCGACAGTCTAATTTTTAAAAATCTATTTCCGATTTTCAAAAAAGATCAGAAGTGAAGATCATCACTTTTAGGTACAAAGCAAGTTTTGAGGTCAGCCTGGGCTACATGGACCCTATCTCAAATAATAGTATATAAATCAATAGACTTAGAGAAGTATGCCATAAAAAGGTCCCTGTGCAACAGAGTAGTGTATTGTGGTCAAATCTGGGAAGGCAGCAATCTCCCTTAAATGGCTTTGAAGACTTGGAGACCCAGAAAAGCTCCTGCCTCCATCCTCATTCATGTTCCACAGCTGCAGGGTGGATCTGCAAAACTTTGCTCATAAGCCCGTCTGGGACAGACAGAAGAAGGCTGCGCTGGCTCCTGCCATTTCTAGATTAAATGGAGAACTACTATAGTCCATGTCAAGCATCTCCATGAGACTTAGATAAGAGTTTCTCACTCTGGGTACAAGGAATACATAGTAAGCTGTCTTGTTTTCTCCTTTAGAATAAAGAAGACACTTGCTTCATAGTCTTGAATAAAAAGGAAGGCTCAGGTCTGGGATTCAGCGTGGCAGGAGGGGCAGACGTGGAGCCAAAATCAGTCATGGTAAGCAGTCACGATACAAGGTTCTTGGGGTATTCCTCTGTAAGCGGCAGAATTGGATCAGGACACAACAAATTCCAATCCGATGAGCTTGGGTCCCTTTTAGCGACATGGAAATGGGAACATGGGAGAATAGTACATAGTGTTTCCATTGTCAAAGATGGGTGTTTATACACATAGCTAATGTGGTGTATAGGCCAAATGCAACATATACCAGCATAATTGTCATAATTGGTGTTTAAGCACTAGAAAAGAAATGAGAGTCAAGTGCTCACAATAGTAATATTCTAGAAAATCACTTGGCAACCTCGAGGCCATTTTTACTGGGCAAGCCCAAGTCTTATCTGTCTCTATTCATGTCACCCTATGGATGTGAGTAACAAAAGTGGAAATATGGGTAGATCTTCTGCAGAGATTTGTAATTCCATCCTTCTTGAATAGAAAGCTTGGCATGAAAAAGCTCCTTGACCATGGGTTTGCAGCTCCTCCCTATCAGTTACCAGGGTTGAATGAATTTGTTCTTTTCCTTTCTGTCCTAGGTCCACAGGGTGTTTTCTCAGGGCGCGGCTTCTCAGGAAGGGACTGTGAGCCGAGGGGATTTCCTTCTCTCCATCAATGGCACTTCCTTAGCTGGCTTAGCCCACAGTGAGGTTGTGAAGGTTCTGCACCAGGCACAACTGCACAAACACGCCCTCATGATCATCAAGAAAGGGAATGACCAGCCCAGGCCCTCGCTCAGGCAGGAGCCTCCCTCCGCCAATGGAAAGGGCCCACTCCCCAGAAAGGCCTTGCCACTGGAGCCTGGGGCTGGTGAGTCCTCCACTGATAGGGAGCAGGGTGTGAGAGCAGCTGGCTGATAAGGACTGAACTGAACTAGCAAGATAAAATAGGCTAGTGAGTAAAACAGCTCTTGTAATGGGGGATTCAGTGTTGAAGGAGAGATTTCTGAACAAGGTGTATCCTTGAGAAATATCAATTGGCACTGTGTCCTGTTTTTAGCGGATGTAAGGAGATGAAGGGGGTTAAGCAGGGTTCTGTGTTGGAAAGTAGAGATGCAGCCCTTATGTGCCCACAGCTTAGGAGGGGCTCACAAGAGATTCCCCTTCCACCATCCACACACACTAGTTCTGTTCCCAGCCCAGGCTCCTCGGCCTTCAGCTAAATCCTGCAAATTCCCTTAGCATCCTGCCCCGCTGTCAGTCTAGAGCACAAATAGCCCCAGTTCAAGGTAGGCGGGCCTTGGTTTCCTCTTAGCATCTGCCCTGGCGGTCAAGGGTGGCCAAATGCCTCTGCTCGGTTTGGCTTGGATGTGGTCTGAGCTATCTACCCATAAAGGCTTTGCTGGAGATGCTTTGAGTTTGATTCTGTTAAACACACAGAAACTCTTTGTCTAGGTGCTCTAGGTGCCTCTGCAGAGCTGGTGTCCTCAGTAGCCCTGCCCTGCGTGGTCACCTACACTCCTCAGAGCCATGGCCATGCTCACCTCTGTCCTGTCAGGCACCATCTGAATCGCTTAGTGTATTCAGTGGGAATTCAGCTTGTCCAAGGAAACCCTGAGTGCTCGATCCTGACAGCTTCCAGAATGTGACACACGTGAGCTCAGTGACAGATAACTCTCCCCTGTGGCTTAAAGGCAAGGTTCCTGGGGCACTCAGGTGCATGTAGCCTAAACCAGACTGCAGTATTCTGAAGCAGCTCACCTTGAGGGCTTGCCTCCACTCCCTGCTATCTCCTATTGCATTGCAACCTCCCTCCACTCTGCAGTTACCCCGTGCCAGACTGACAGGCGTCTGTCTGATGTGGGCCTATTTGGACAGTGGAGGCACCCAGACAGCTGTTTTAAAACCCTAATGACCAGAAATTTCCCTGATAACTAAACCAAAAATTCTGGGGAGTAGGAGCCAGGCATGGGTACATCTACAATGTTGCCAGGTGACTCCAGGAGAGAAACCAAGTTGGTGACCATTGTGAAAGCCTCCTTTTCCCCCTTTTAACAGCAAGTCACACATTAAAAAATTAGACCACTCTTGGTGACACATGCCTTTAATCCTAGTATTCAGGAAGGCAGAGGTAGGCAGATCTATGAGATCGAGGCCAGTCTGGTCTGCAGAGGAAATTCCAGGACTAAGACTACATAGAGAGATTCTATCTCATATATAATATGCATATATTATATATGTATAGACTCACACACACGCCTTTGAGACCTTGCGGACAGGCTTTAAACTGCAGTAAGGAACTGGCAGGGAGCTTGGTTCCACTGTCATCCTAAGGATTGTATTAGGTCGGTTCATTCATTCGTGGTCCCTCTCCTGCCTTCGAAGCAGCTAAGTACACCTTTCCATTCCACTCCATGTGTACCGACTTAAGAGAACTAAAAGACAAGCGTACAGTTCCTATTCAGTCCAAACAAGCCATGGAGCTGATATCACCATGGAAACGCTTCTCGCCACCACAAGAGCGAGATGCCAATGAAGGACGCCAGTGTGAGGGAGGCAACCATGCCCCAGGGATGCTGGGTTTCCTCTCAGAGAAGCACAGGAAGGAAGCCCCGCCCGGGTCCAGGGAGCTTCCCAATCAATCATGACAGCCTCTCCTGAGCCACTCCAATGCCTCTGCTTTCCATAGCAGATGGCAACATTCTGTTGCTATGGCAGCCAAGGTTGGCAGGAAACGGAATTGATTCACTGAGTGTGACTTCCATCCTCACCGGGATGTGAGGCTTGACAAGAGCAGTGTCCCCTGGGCATCTCTCTGGGAGAGGAAGCACTCCCTGCCCTTGCAGGAACACACAGAAAACTGTGGGTATGAGTCCCACAGGCCACAGCCAGGCAGGGGCTCCCTCCTGAGAGGTCAACCCTGATGCTGGGATCAGACTGTAGACAAGTTTCCAGCAGACAAGACTCAGGGGTGACCAGAGTCCACGGTGCCCAAGGCAACGTGTTTGGGGGCAATTAGACAGGTGGCATGTTGAGGAGCCTGCTTTCTCATGATAAACATCCTTGCCGCAGGGAGAAACGGAGCTGCTCACGACGCTCTGTGTGTGGAAGTGCTGAAAACCTCGGCGGGGCTGGGACTGAGTCTGGATGGAGGAAAATCGTCCATGTCTGGAAACGGACCCCTGGTAATTAAGAGGGTGTACAAAGGTAAAGCATACGTCTGTGGAAACCATCCCTCCTGTACGGGAGCTGAATGGTTTCCAGAGTCCGCGGTGCTTTCACTGCTGTGACAGTGGGCTGTGTCCTGTGTGTGCTAAAGCTCCAGGTAGGGTACCGAGGCGAGCACTGTCACCAGCACACCAGGAAGGACACCGAGTACCAACCAGGATTTCCTGTGATTTCAAATGCTAGACTGCAAGAAAAGGAAGGGGCGAACGGTGTTGAATGGCTTCTTCATGAACTTGAATTTTTCACTTTATGATCTTGGGAAACTGTTTGGGCTGGGGGGAAGTCTATTTTGGTTTTTTGTACACGTGTATATGGTATGTGTATGGATATGCATGTTTGTGTGTACACGTGTGAAGGTCCAGCACTGATAGCAAGTATGTCCCTCGATTGCTCTCTCCACTCTGTTTACGGAGACAGCGACTCTGAGTGAGCCCTGTGCAGTGAGATCTGCCTTCAGGGTGCTGGGATTACAGATGATTCCCAGCTCTTATGTAGGTTCTGGAAATCTAAATTCTGGCCCTCACACTTGCTTTCATCCTAAACAATCATAAATTATATAATTGTATGACTGATATCAGCACATAAATACTTACAAATAGACCAGAAACTCATAGTTAAAAGATATAAGTGATCAAGTCACGAGATTGGTTGTTCTTAGTTTAAGATTGGTTGGTTTGGTGAATGTGTTTGCTTTTGTTTTGTTTGTGGTTTTTTTTTTTTAATTTCAGACAGACAGGGTCTCTCTATGTAGCCCCTGGCTGGCCTGGAACTCAGAGATCCACCTGCCTCTGCCTCCCTGATCTGATTTGATTGGGTTTCTGAATGTGTGACCTCCTTCAATAATTACATAGTTACTCTGAAGCCTCTCCCCACCCCACACATATAAGCTGTGCTTTAAAAAAATCAATAGGTTGCCGGGTGGTGGTGACGCACACCTGTGTATCTCTCAGTTCCAGGTCAGCCAAGGCTACACAGAGAAACCCTGTTTCAAAAAGATAAAAATAGGGAGGAGAAGCAAGAGGCCAAAACTCCCAGCTTGTGCATCCCATCCCCCCCCCCTGCCCCCCCTGCCCCCCCTCCCACAAAAATAAGCAGGGAATGCTGGCCCAAGTTGTTGGGCTGTTCCCTTCTAGAATTTCTCACCGGATGCAGAACCTCCATCATCTGGTCACAAGAACATCTCTGAGAGACCCACCTTCCCACACCAAGACCATCCCTATTCGTAACCCTGAACCTATCACATTTTGTTCTAGTTCCGTTCTCTGTCTCGGCCAAATACATGTGAACACGAATTTCTCTCATCTTAGGAGAACAGCTGTAAAACATCTCCAGTTGGGCACAGTGGCTCACACCTGCAGTCTCAGCACTGAAGGCAGAGGGAGCTGTGGCAAGTCTGAGGCCAGCCTGGACTACATACAGGGAGTTCTAAGCCAGCCTGGACTACATACAGGGAGTTCTAGGCCAGCCTGGACTACATACAGGGAGTTCTAGGCCAGCCAGAACTACATAGCAAGACCCTGCCTGCAAACAAAACAAAATGAATTTCCCATGAAAAGCAGGCATGAATGAAGCGCCTGGCGGTGAGCTGCTGCCCTGTGTGACCCGTGTGCAATCAGAACTGACGCAAGCGTACAAGCCCACGGAGGGCAGGAGCTGAGCACCTCCTGGTCCTGTGGGCTGCGGATGTAGGCATCTAGTTATGGGAAAGACTAGGGCTTGTGCCCTGACAGTGAACTAGAAGCAAGACAGCTTGTTTGATAGTTCACAATAGCATACAAGACAAGCTGTCTCTGTTTATGGCGAGCAAGCAGAGAACAGGTATGAATGGAGTCAGCTCTGTTGTATGTACTACACAGGCAGTGCCAGGCTAGAGGAAACCCCCATACTCATCAGTCATTAAACTGACAGAGAATGAACAGGGAAGCATGAACCCAGTCAACTGTAAGAGTACTCACAAGGACCGCTCCCAGGGGAGGAGGGCAAGGTGTGTGAGGCCATCTTCAAACTAATACTGAGAGCCCATTAGAAACAAAAGGGCAAGCTAGCAGCCGGGCACAGTCATTAACGACCACATCCACTGGCACCTTGGGTCATCTTTAAAAGCATCTCTGGCTTTCCCACCTTCTGAAGCTTCCACCAGAAAGCAAATAACCAAACAGTGACCTGAGATTGAGGATTACATTGTCTGTGCCTTAAACCAAAGTGAGACAATGTCTTATATACCCACCTCCTATATTCCCGTCATCCCCGGTGCATCCCCAAGTACCAGGTGCAGACCAAGCAGTGAACGGTGTGTAGAATGGGAATAAAAAAGGCCACCTCCCAGAGAACCTTGCCAGCCCAACAGATGGGCATTTGTCTCTAGTCCTTTCTCTCCTGGACACACTCGAGGCACGTGCAGCATACAAGTACAGAGGCCAGATGATGTTGGAACCTCTGAAGCCACCGGACCCAGGTGCCAGGAAGTAAACGAGTCTGAACTGAGGGCCTCTGGATGAGCAGTAGCAGCACTCTTAACTTCCGATCCATCTCTTCAGCACCATTTTGTAACAGCTGGGGAGGGGGGAGTGCTCATGCAGGTCAAAGCACAACTTTGTCACCTTTACCCACTGAGCCATCTTGCCGGCCCCCAAGGACCTAAAATGGCTTTCCGAAATGTGCATCTGCCCAGGCTTTGGAGCTGAGGTTTCTAAGAAAAGTCAGTGTTTGCTCTCTTCAGGGTTTTCAATGGTGACATTCCTTCCTCAGCATGATCTAGGTTTGTACGCAGCAGGGAGGCAATGGAGGCTAGTGTAGGCTCATCTTCTGAAAGTGTGCTCTGACTTCCACAAAATTGAAACAGAAATGTGGAAAGTTCTACCAGGAAACGGGCCACAGTCCCCCCAACCTGATGAGCAGGTAGCCCCTGGTGCTCAGCAGGACAGACTAATTGCTTGCTTGCTGGATGTTGGTGCTGTAGGTCAGGGTTTCCTTTCGCCTACTCTGCTTGTTACTTGTTTGTTATTTAAAGTGATTTTACTAATTGAGTACACAAGACTTTCTGCCAGTATCGTAGAGGCTGGCAATGACTCATATTTGAGTGGGAAGACCCACTTAGTCTTATCACATGCTGGCTGGTAAATGATACTCTATCCAAATCAGGAAGAATTCAGCATCCTTACCTTTCTGTGTCTCAAGATGCTTGTGAACAATGGCTATTTTTTTGTTTTGTTTTTTGAGACAGGAATTCTCTGTAGCCTGCCCTAGAACTCACTCTGTAGATCAGTCTGGCCTTGAACTCATAGAGACCCCGCCTGTCTCTGCTTCCTGAGTGCTGGGATTAAAGGCGTGCACCACACTGCCTGGCACAACTATTTTTTAAACAAGTTTAGTTTTTTTAAATTTAAATTAGAAACAAGCTTGCTTCATGTGTCAATCCCAGCTCCCTCTCCCTCCCCTCCTACCAGCCCCCCAACTCCCCACCTAATCTCCATATCACTCTCCAGGGGGGGTGAGGCTCTTCATGGGGGATCTCCAAAGTCTGTCATATCATCCAGGGCAGGGCCTAGGCCCTTCCCCATGTGTCCAGGCTGAAAGAGCATCCCTCCATGTGGAATGGGCACACAAAGTTCATTCGTATGCCAGGGATAAATACTGATCTACTACTCGAGGCCCCATAGATTTCCAGGCCTCCTCACTGACACCCAAATTTAGGAGGTCTGAATCAGTCCCATGCCGGCCTCTCAGCCATCAGTCTGGGGTCATGAGCTCCCTATTGGTCGGGTCAGCTGTCTCTGTGGATTTCACCAATCCGGTCTTAACCCCTTTGCTCATCACTCCTCCCTCTCTGCAACTGGGATTCAGGAGTTCTTAATTAAAGGGTAGATACCCTTTGGAAGAACAAAATCAAGTGTTTCGGACTCAAGGATTTGTGCAACATCATGAGTCCCTCAGGCCATGATGTCACATCAATTTGTGACCTTTCTTGGCCAGATCGTAAATCTGTTCCCTCACATAGTTAGACATCAACTTCAGCGGGTGGGAATGCATTGGAAAAGGCAGGACCCTCTGAGACAGGCCATTCCCTGGCCATGAGACCCATGATGTTGCTCTGGTAGCAAAACAAAACAACAGTGGTTTGTAGTTCTTTAGTCTGGATACTCCATTTGAATAAATGCATTACCTTCTCTTTGTGAGTTGTGGGCTTGCTTATATGGGGAGGGATTGGTCTACAATTATCTTGTATTTAACTTACAGTGAGACTAAAATAATAGTTCCCTCTCCTGAGACTACAGGAACATCTTATTTCCCATTTAAATTTTTAGTTGCCTTTTTTAAAGAACGCAGGTGCTAACAGTTGATTCTGCACTTGTTCTGGCAGGTGGTGCAGCGGAACAAGCGGGAACCATAGAAGCTGGCGATGAAATCCTTGCTATTAATGGGAAACCTTTGGTTGGGCTGGTGCACTTCGATGCCTGGAATATCATGAAGTCTGTTCCAGAAGGGCCTGTGCAGCTAGTGATTAGAAAGCACAGGAATTCCTGAGTTTTTAACAACAATCTCCTCCCCCAGATGCATTTCTAGCAAATCAAAGGGACTTCTTTTAATGACGGGTTCTGGAATTAGCCAACAGCTTACACAGATACCCACGATTGTACTTTCACGTGAAGCCTGAACTCTGGAAACCTCCTACATGGACCACCAAGGCTGGGGAGTGTCACTTCCTTCTGTGCCTGCCACTCCCTACATCTGCAGCAGGGTCAAGAGCTGACCTGCTCCTCTTTTGGAACACCTGGCTACACCTTTTCAGCCCTCTTGCCACCTCTCCCAGCATCAGTCCTAGTGAGCAGGGACCAGAAGGGTAACACAAATGCCCCAGCTAAAATGATGTATTATGTAGATGTATATAATTTTGTAAGTAAGGGACATAGTGCTTTTAGGTATGTACATGCAGTGGAAGGCAAAGCTATGGGTCTATGTATGTTACCCTAAAAAAAAAAGAAAATGAATTTATGACTAATTGTTAGGCAGAGCTCAGGAATTATGCAACAGTGAAAAAGATGACAGTTTTAAAAAGTGCTATTTTTTAATGACGTAATGTATGATGTGGACTGGGAAGCTGTGCTCATTTTCTGTTTCTGAGAGCATAAGTCATAAGGCTGTTACAGAGTGACAGTTCTGGTGAATTGCAATAGATGGCTGTGAGCTTCCCTGCTTGGGAGGAGCTTCTAGCCTGAAAGCACCTTGCATCTAGTTTTCAAACATGCATATATGTTTGAATTCAAGACTGGTCAGCGCACGAGCAGGCAAAAATGTCAGTGTGTTTGTGTTCCCACAGGTATGCACCACTACCACCTTCAAGGCAGTTTTGAGAGTTAAATCCTTCAGCTTGCAAACGTCGGCATTCTGTGATCCAAACTGAGGAGCTTCTAAGCATCCTCGATGGAGATTTCTTGCTTTGGGTTTTTTTTTTTCCTTTTCTCCACCAGACTAAAAGCAGCATAGTTTGTAATCCGGCTCTCTTCCCTGACAGAGCTCTGTAGTGGCTCAGCTTTTTGCTAGTTTGGTTTTTACTGTTTTGCAAAATTTTCCCCTTGCCAAAACTGGGGTCCCGCAGACCGTTCTGACTCAGGTTGCTTTTGAAACTCTTCTGGCTGCCTTGAGCCTCTCTGGAGCCTTCCTCCTCACAAAGCTGGCTTTTCTCCCTTTGCACTGACCCTTATTTTTCTTAAATCCCAAAGCTTCACCAGCTTCATTTACCAAACAAGGAGGAAAATGGAAAGACAGGGTGAGTCACTCTAGGAAAAGGACTCTATGGTGTTCGCCACCCAATCCTCAGGTGGCGCCACCAGTGCTGGGTCTTGAGGGTTTGGGTGGAACTGCGTTTGTCAATCCCACATGTATGATGCTGTGATTGTTTCTTTAACCCACAGCTGGGTCCAGGGAAAACATCGTGAGGTGTTTGAGCTGTTGCCTTTTGTACATCATTTTTCCTGAGCCCATCCCTGCTGGCCATCTGCAGAGGAAACCCAAAGATGGTCCTCAGATGGGCACAAAGTAACTGGCTCACTTTCAGCAGGTTACACAGAAAACTACAGTCCAGAAGTTAGCTAGAAAAGTCTGATTTAGCATCTATTTTCATTACAGATACAAGTAGGATACTATAAGATGTCAGTGCAAGGTGCATGCTATGTTGTTACGTCTCTGGGGTCAGTTTCTGTTTTCTTACTTGAATGATAATTTGAAGTCAGCACGGAAAAACTATTTTTTTTTTTTTTGCTCCACTCCTTTACAGTCACGTGTATTAATAAGTCCGGTGACCAGAACAGGACTTTGACTTTCTGAGTGTTTCCAAAGCTGTTAGCTAAAGAATACAAGGAGAACCTGTGGCTTGCCACACTATGCTAAGTCACCAGGCATTTGAAGTAGATCTTTCCAGAAAGTCTTCCTGGCTAACAGTAGGAATGTAAAGGAACAAAGCAAATGTTAACCTATCTTCGACCCTGAGCTAGAAAGGTATTTATTTGTCCTCAGTGTTAACGGCATGATGAGTACTGCTAATTAGTCTAATAAACCCCCACACTTTCTGCAGTGAACACTAACGGTATTGTTCTAACCTTTTTTTAAGTGGTCAGTCATTCACAGTAAGCTATGAGGGTAAAAATGTGTCATGACATATAAACATCATAGTTTCATTTCCACCCTCCCATACGTATTGCATTGTATGGTTGACTTAATTGGCACCACACCTGTTGTATATTATACATTATTATTTATGTAAAATAAAATGCCTTATATATTAAAGAGTAAGTGCAATAATATGAAATGGCCTGTACATTTAAAAATGTTGTCGCCAAGTTATGCAAATCCACATCTCTGTAAACAATTTTTTAAGTAATTTTCAAAAAATAAACACCGCTTACTATTTGGTTTTGCCTCGTTATTATGCAATGAGTAATACACCTTATCACCTACATTGGTCAGGGGGGCACAGAAGCAAGGAGCCTTGGCTAGCTGTGCTTTCCCACGGCTACACAAGGAATCTGGACAGCCTCAGTACCGTGCGCCTCTAACGTCTGTTTCTGTCTAATCTGGCTCGCTTACAGGTTCCTGGCCAATTCTTCCCACTACAAGTTGTCTTTAACAATCCTAGTGCCTGCCTCTTTCTCCCCTTCAAGCCCAATCCATCCACACTTCCTCTCACAGCACAAACGCTAACACTAGACCCCACAGGCTGAGGACCCTGGCTGCAATGGCCTGTCTTGCCGGCAGTCCTGGAGCCTTCCAAATGGTTATAATCTTGGCACCTACAGACAAATCCCAAACCCACAACAAAAAAGTGCCACCATAAATTCCTGATTCCCAACCTCCCCTGGATCCTCCTTGCTGTTCAGCAACTGTTTGCCAGCTTTTCCTCATTATTCAGGAAAGCATTCTTCTCCCAGGAGGAAGCCCTATCTATCTTCTGCCTCATACCTTCACAGGGTCAAATAAAAGCCATCTTTATTGAATTCCTTCCTACAAAGGAGGTGAGAATATGCATCCTCAGAGGAAGGTTCTGGTATGCAGATATTCCTCTCTTGGCCTAAGGGATAAATTCAATAATGCTCAACAAACTACACAGAAGCCACTGCTGACAAGTCCTGGGCACATGGCAGGCATAGAATTCTACCATAGAAGGGCTGGAGAGATGGCTCAGAGGTTAAGAGCACTGACTGCTCTTCGAGAGGACATTAGTTCAATTCCCAGCAACCACATAGTGGCTCAGACATCTGTAATGAGATCTGGTGCCCTCTTCTGGCTTGCAGGGACACATGGAGACAGAACACAGTATGCATAATAAATAAAATCTTTAAAAAAAAAATCTACCATAGAAAAAATAGGCACAAGCACGACTGATAAAACACTTTGGAAAGAAACGTTAACTTTGACTCACTGCTTCAGATGTCTTGTTCTGTGACAGCGCCTACACCAGGGCCAAGGATGACCGTCTACCACATGACAGCTAGGAAGCAAAAGAAAGGACAGGTCCCCTAAAGGCCCCACCACCTCTCAGCAGGACCACACTGGCAGCCAAGCCTTCTGAATATGGGCCTCAGATTCAAACCAACTGGGTGTGTTGACAGGCAGTGGAGGCAAAGGGATAGAGTTAAGGTCATTCTGGACATGCAGAGTGTGGGTCAGCAGCCTGAGGTACACACGATCCTGTCTCAAAACAGTTCAGGTAAAAGCAGACCTAGAGACCTCAGAACCACTCTGCCCAAACAAGAAAGGAGCCAGAAAAAAGGCACGTGACTTACATCTCCACTCCACAAGAATCCAATCGAAATAGCAGACTATCATGTACATTAAATCCTTGGCAAAATCATAAAACAGGAGCAGCAACAGAGGCCCCAGGAAAAGAACTGACTCCAAACATCAAAACGAGCTCAAATGTGCTGAAAACTATGACAGCACACGACTGAATAACCACACAAAAATAGAAAAATTCTGAAGTCCAATGTTTACTTGGGTGGCAGGTAGGCATGAGAGCTCATAACCCCAGCACTCAGGAGAGAAGGCCAGCTACATGGTAATATCCTGTGTCAAAAACAACTGGGGAGACCAGCACTTGGGAGGCAGAGGTAGGAGGATCTCTGAGTTCAAGGCCAGCCTGGTCTACACAGAGAAACACTGTCACAAAATAGAAAACAAAAAACAACTGGAGAGGTAGCAGTCCTAAATACTTGCACTTATGTGGGTTCAGAAGCCAGGTATGGTCCCATACTTGTAACCACAGCTCTGAAGAGGTGGGAAACAGGAGGGTCCCTGGTCTTACTGGCTCACCAGTCCCAACCTAAGTAGTGAGCTTCAGAGTAAGGAGACCAAAGGTGACAGGTGTTCCTGAAGATGACAAACATATGCACATTAAAAAAAATAACAAGCCTATTTAATCCCAGCACTCAGGAGGCAGAGGCAGGCAGATCTCTGTGAGTTCAAGGTCAGCCTGGTCTACAGAGTGAGTTCCAGGACAACCTCCAAAGCAATACAGAGAAACCCTGTCTCGGGAAAAAAAAAAAAAAATAACCCTATAGAGATCAGAAAAAAATGTCAGGAAAGTCATTTAGAAGCACTCATTCCCAATGAATAAACAAAATGAAGCAATGCCTTAAGAAGACAAGAAATGGAAATGTCTAAAATCCAATACAAAATAGACAGTGGAGAACCTCAGGGACAGTCGCAAGCATAGCTCACACCAGTCAAACTGGCAAGCTCTGGGGTCTAGTGGAAGACCTTGCTTCAACAGAGATAGTGGAGAAAATCTGGAAGACAACCTCCGTCAGCCTGTTCTTCAGACACATGGGACCTGCACATAAATGCACACACCTACATGCAAAAAATAGAAGATGCATGGTAGGGCTGCAGTATACTAAAAAACAACCTGCCTGAAATTGAGAAGAAAGACTGAGACACCACTGGAAAGAATTTATTATGCATACCTAGAACCATAACATTCTCTAGTAACACTGGCATCCAGACAAGAATGTATTACAAGGGACAAAATATCACCAACTGCTAGGGTTTGACAAGAATGCGTTACACCAAAAAGAACATTCATAAGTTACTCAAAAAAAAATTACTTAAGAATTTTAATCAAACTGACTTGCCAAGTAAAAGGCCAGACTCCTTGGCATACAAAATCTGGGACTGCATTCTCATAAACCCTCTACAGGAAGCCCTAGGAAGACATGAGCAATCGAGAACAGGAACAACGATGAGCAGTAAGGGCATGCATCTCGAGAAAGAGTACCAAAGTATGAGTTGAAAGAGAGCCGTAAGGACTGCTCCTACAGCGCAGATGCAGTGGTTTCCAAAGGTGAGGGAAAATACAGCTCGGCCACACAGCGCTAGACTAGCATACACAACAAGATCCCAGGTTCGAGACGGCCAATAAACAAACGCTGCTCTAAAAGTGCCATGAGTGTCAAGAGAAAAGACAAATACACACTACTTTAACTTGATCACCACTAATCTGGACTAGATTCTTAATATGGACAAGACAAAAATCCTATGGCTCCAGACATGAATCCAATTATCAACAGGAAGTCATGAAGTACTTTTTAAAATTGTTGGTCAATGTAGTAGAATACACATAAAATGTACCAATCCCATCAGTAGAAGAGTACAATTTAATAAAATTAAGTGTGTCTAAGTGTGTTGCCACCACCACAATCTCCAGAACCTCCTCGTGCTGAACTCAGAATGTTATATTTTTATACATAAAAACACACATACAAGTTTTTTCTTCTAAAAGCAATAATCACAGTAGAAGTATGTAAAAGTGACAAATGTTGTCTTGAAGTACTATTTCATGGAAAAAGAATCCATGGCTTGTTGGAGACACTGATGACTCCATATATGGGATAGGAATGTACAAAGTAAACCTAGAATCTCTTGCCACACCAAAAGGTCATCAAAAGACTACTGGGACTAAGCAAAACTGAAGATCCAGGCAGGAGAGATGGCTCTGTGGGTAGCTGTGTTTGCTTCTAAAGGCTGCTGACCTGAGTTTCACCCCTAGACCCCAACGTGTAAGGAAGACGGCAACTCCTAAAGCTGTACTCTGATCCCCACACATAGGTGGCATACAGGCACCTAAGTGTCTGTCCTTCCTCCCTCCCTCCCTCATGGAAATAGTGTTTTCATTTTTTTTTAAGCCAGGGTCTCACTATGTAACTCTGACTCTCCTAGAAATCACTATGCAGACTGGCCTCATGTCTCCTGAGTGCTGGGATAGAAGGCATACACAATCACACCCAGTGTTTTTAAAAAGATCTTTGAAGAGAACTTAACTGTCCAAAAATAGGAAACGAGTATTAATGAGGATAACTGAAATATAATAAAACATGTCTGGTGCACCATATTATAAAAAATAGCCAAGCACTGAAAAATAGTTATGATTTCACTGATTTGTGGCCTCAAAAAACTAATTTACTAGAACAGAAGATAGAAAAACAGATAGAGGGCTGGGTAAGACTAGGAGTGATGTTTCTTTGTTTGTACTGTGATCAGGGTTCACAGCAATAATGCAGTCCAAGGGCTGTAGAGGTAGCACAAGGGAGAGCACATGTTTAGTGTGCACAAGGAACTGAGTTCAATCCCCAGAACCAGGAAAAAGGGTGTGAAACATTCACCATCCTCACCAGAGGAAAGCAAGCTGCTCAGGTGTAGGCTACCTTAGGTTTATTTACTCTTTCCACAGTGTATACACAGATCAAAACATAACATCACACTCCACAAATGCAAAAATGTGCTAGCCAATTACAGGTATATAACAGGTACACAGCTAGCTCATTTCCAAAAACAGCTGGTTTTATGAGCATGGGTGTGCAGGTGCCCACAGAGGCCAGCACTGAATCCCCTGAAGCCTAAGTTACAGATGTTGTAAGCAAGCACCCAATATGGGCTCTGTGAACCAAACTCTGGTCTGCTGCCCAGCAGCATGTTGCCATAAATTCTTTATCAAGTTTCAGGAAACCACTCTTTCTTGAAAATAGGCAAGGAAACTCTAAGAGTGTGTCCTACTCTCTGTGAAGCATGCTGGAAGGTAATGGAGATATCATCCTGAAACAAACATCCTAGAAAATAAAGAAATAGCAAGATTTAAAATACTGCCAACTCCACAACCCCAATAAACTCCAGGATTATCTGGAGACAGTGACTAGAGGCTGCAATTACAGCATTCAGGACGCTGAGGCAGGAGTTCAAGGACAACCCAGGCTACACATTAAGTTTCAGGGCAGCCCTATTTCAAAAAGGAAAGAAAGGGAGATTAGGGGAAAATCTTTAGATGGGGCCCAAAGTGTTGCCTAGATAACCTTCCCACGGGAAGGGAAGGTGGAGAGGAAGAAAACCAGAAATGCAGAGGAGAACTCATTACCAGGTGGC